AGAGCACAGAAGAGCCCAGTCTTAGTGGTAGGATCTAACCAGCCACCCTAGTTACTGAGGCTCCAGTCATCTCCTGAGCTGGCTCCCACTCACCTAATCAAGGCCATGGCTGTGGGTCACCAGCCAGTGCTTCTTCCTCCCCACCTCTGCAGAGAATCCACCCAGGGTGCGGTCATGACTGTGTCAGGGTGGAGGACGGTGTGGTTTCGGGCAGCCTGTGTCCGATTCTCCATCTTTAGTCCTACTACCCTGATCTCCCCATCTTCCCCAACCATAGGCTTATGTTTCTGGGGAGGGAGTGGTTCTGCTCCCCCAGAACCAGGATGCTAACATGTGACCCAAGCTAAGCCGATCCACACATCCCAGAGGTGCATGTGTGACCTGCTGAGGCCAATTCTCGGCTCTCAGACATCTCTCCACAGCGGCACCAGGCAGTGTCCATCCTGGAGCAGCAAGATCTCCTTCTGGTCCTGGCAATGGGGGTGTGAGGCCGGGCTCAGGGCTGCCTGCAGTGCCTCCAGGAGCAAAAGTGAACCTCAAGGCGGAGGTCAAAGAGATACTTAGAAATGATTCCCCTTTGGGAGACTCATGAAAACTGGACAGAATCATTGCTGAAACCTCTATTCCCATACTTCCGGTCCTCCTTCAGCCGAACCCTAATAAGACACTGACCCTGGGCTTCCCAAGATTACTTCCCGCGCCATCACTGAAATCCTCCAGCCTGGCCCTTGGTGTTGAGCCACAGAAGGACACCCGCTGGTTCATCTCCATAGACAGAGAAGCAGAGGCCCAGACAGGACGCTGAGTCACACAGCCTGCGATAGCTGGGACAGGTCCCGGGGGTCCCTCTCCTGCTCTTGTGCTGTTCTCACTTGCACCAGTTGGGAACACCCTGGTTAGTGTCAGGGAATCCTATTAGATCTGTGCACGAGCCCTCCCTGCTGGCCCTCCCCGCTCACTGTGTCCTTTCCACTGTGTCCTTCCAGCTGCTGTGTGTAGTGAAAGGGCCGCTCCACGTTACAGCCCTGTGCCTGCTTCCTGGGCAGGAGAGGAGGTGCGAGCCCAGCCTACTTCTTGAAAAATGTATGCATTTTGTGTTTTGTCAGTCAGAACTAGGCTGCCTGGTCACCCACAATGAGTATTTTTTTTTTTTGTTGGACAGGAATATTTTTTTTCCTGAACCCAACTGGAGTCTGCTAGAAAAGAAGAACGTGAGGTTGGTACTGGTGGCCACTGACTTTAGCATCCACCCTGTAGTTGCTTGGTTTGGGATTTTGCCTAAGAATGCCCTGCCCAGCAGGGAACAAAGCCCTTTTCTTCATCCCCTCAATGTCCCAAGGCTGGCCACAGTAGAAGTTGAAAGTGGCTTTTCTGTTAAGTTGGAGGATTGTGGGGAGATCAGAAGTTGGGGGAAGAAAAGGGGCATTCTGGCCACAAATTCTCCTCCTGCAAATCTTTAAGTCTTCTCTCTCTCAAGTCTCACTCAGAAGTTTGGGGTGGTGGTGGGGGTGGTGGGGGGAGCCCAGGGGCCCAGGGGACTAGTGTGGAGAGTGAGCCACGTGCTGGGCACAAATGCTGCCCCAGACCCCTTGTGGAACACTGGCCTGGGTGCTCAGATATCAGCCTGCACAGCCCACCTCTCCTGGTGGACACCACAGAGCCCTCTTCTTCCAGGCAGGGCCTGGTTTCCTCCATGACCCCTGGGGCAAGCACCTGTCTTGCCCTCGTGGGCTCCGTGCTCACACTGCCCTTGACAGTGGCCTTCAAAGTGAGGCGGCCTGATAGGCAGCAGCACCATCACCTAAGAATCTGCTGGACGTGCAAATTCTTGGGCCCTACCCAAGACTCTTGGAACTAGAGACTCAGGGGTGGGGTTCTGTGTTTTAAGAAGCCCTCCAGGTGACTCTGAAGTTTGGGGACTTCAGAAGCATAATGACTTGCAGGCTGTGAAACAGTTTCTGGGCTGTTTATGCCAACTGAGAGGCAGCTGGTAACGGCAGAAATCAGAAAGGAACCCACCTGGTCCCTCAGTGCTTCAGCACAGACAAGAAGTCAGTAAGTCTGTGAGACTGAGATTTTTGAGTCTAAGAATAACTGTCAGAGCTAGAAATCACGGAGGGACTGTAGGGTATTGGAAGTTATCAGGCTTTTTTCTGCCCTCCCGCCATTAGCATCAAGACCAGCACCTGTGTGCACACGTGCCTGAAGGGAGACACCTGGAGCACAGCGTGGGCATGAGTAGGTGGGAACACCTGGGCCTGGAGGCTGAGGATGTGAACATGGCAGAGAACAGCTACGAGAGGAAGAGACCACGAGAGCCTGCCAGAGCCAGACCGAAGAGAAACCATACAGCTTTATCGGAGAGGGGGGGCTGCAGCCTCCTGGCTCCCTGGTCCCCCTCCCTGCCCCGCACCTGGTTGTCTCCCTATAAATGGTGTAGAAAGGTCATCCAAAGCCTGAAAAAGCCATTGAGGGCTCCAGACCTCTCTTTACCCATCTGCCCAGATCCAGAGTGCACCTGCCCTGCGCCAGCTGGCACAGCAGGGACAAACCACACTTCCTATTTCATGGACTTGGGAACTGAGTTGAAACAGGAGACAGTGTTTGGCCAAGGTGAACAGCAGAAGTGGAACTAGAGTTCAAGGTTCCTGAGCCCTAGGTGGGTGATATATTCCTCCCCCCGCCAATTAAAATATTTCTGAAAGAATATAAAATTAAAATATGTGTATATAGGCCCTCCCTGGTGGCGCAGCAGGTTAAAGCCCAGCACTGAGAAGCTAAAGCCGCTTCCGCATGAGTTCGATCCCCGCCCGCCCTGGAGGTGACCACATGGCGCGGCAGACCTCTCCTGACCCGCCCACTGCTCCCCTCAACAGTGTACTTCCTCGATCCGCCTGTTCTGCTCCCCACTCTGTCTCTGGTGAAGCCTCTCGCCACCCCTGAATGTCTGGTCTGTACCCCAGTTCTGAATGTATAAATAAATAAATCTTTAAAAAAATATGTGTATATATATAAAAAATAATACTTTGAAAAAATTATAGCACTTACATCTGTTACATGAATCTTTTTACAAGAGCAGGACCCTAAGGAACCCACCCTCATAGTAAACCCGTTAAGCGACTCTGGCGAGGAGTCTGAAGGTGGGGTGATGGTGATGTGCTGTGTGGGCCAGGAGGACCAGCCTGTCTTTGCTGGGGGCTGCAAACTTCTCACTGTCCCTTCTTCCACCACAGCGCCCAGTGGCCTCTCCAAGCACGAGGCCCATGTGCCTTAACTTCCTTCTGTGTCTCCTCCAGAGCCACGAGGGCAGGAAAGTCAGAGCTGGACAGCAGGCCAGCCCAAACCAACCATTTGTGCGGCCCTGGACAAGAGGACCCTCGCAGACCCACAAAGTGGTTACAAGTTTGAAAGTTTCAGATCAAACTAAAAAACTGTCTTCTGTTTTGACAAACCCTTACAAGGACTTAGCAACTGGGATACAGGTGGCTCAAGCATAAGACCAACCCTGTGACGTCCTTCTTTTCCGATTCAGGCCCAAGACTATACTGTGAGGACCTTGAGAACAGGCTTATGGCCACTGCAGCCTGTTCTTCAAACTCCATCTACACCTCTTGCAAGGAGCCAGCTAAGTCCAGGCTTGGGAGGCAGGACCCACAGAAGAGGCCTTTGCAACTTTAGAGTTGGCCCAGACTGTTTAGGATACAACTGCAGAAGCATGGCTGCAAAGCTAAGGCCTGGGGTCCAGGGCACGCTCAGTCCCTGTGGCTCTTCCTGTGGGGGCAGGTGGGAATCGAACTCATGCGGAAGTGGCTTTAGCTTCTCAGTGCTGTCTTTAGCCCGCTGCGCCACCAGGGAGGGCCGGTCTTGGGGTTCTAACAACATGTGCTCCATGGATGCCAGACGTCCCCAGGCTGGGTGACAGGCTGGCTCACCGGGCTTTCACGTCTGCTTTCTCTGGGTCCTCAACCACCAAGGTCCAGCTCTGTGCTGGTTGCTGGGCTGAGCCAATTGGCCCAGCAGGAGACGCCTACACCCCAGGGGCTCATGCCTACTCTCTTCGAGGAATTTGAAACTTAAGCCCAAACCAGCCTGGTGATGGCAATGGTCACAGTGAACCTCTTCCCTGCACCTGAGAGGTGCCCAGCTGGAGTTACACCCATAGTGAATCCCATTGTCACAACAGCCTCGCCAGGTGGATGTAATTACCCTGCTTATTTTTCAGATGAGATGAGGCTCCGATGTTAAGCCACTCTCCCAAGATCAGTGGGGACAGCGGACGCACCAGGAGAACTGAAACTGAGCCTTAAGATGTAGAGACCAGGGCATCAGCCTGTGCTGCCAGGCTCAGGATGCCTATCTGCCTGGGACATGCCTGTGTGCCTTGGCAGCAAGACCTGGCTCTGCAAGATGGCCCACTGTGATGGTCAGAAGACGGCCTGGGCAGAGAGAGGGGCGAGCTGTGGGGGAAAGGCGCACAGAGAACCTCCTCTCCAGAGTGAGAGCAAAGCAATAATCTAGACCAGTCTGGCCTATCACTCCAGCCCAGACCAGCACGGGTGTCACTCTGAGGCAGGCCAGAGCCCTGTCTACTACCCCTACACCCCCACCTCCAACCCCTCTTTCTTTCTTCCTTCCAGTGAGTTAGCAGCCAGTTTGCCAAGGAGAAGGTACTGGCAGCTGGTTTTCTGAGACAGAGAGGAGGGGGAGTAGACAGGTTGCATCTACTTTGTGGGCCAGGGGGTGGCCCCCAGAGGCTGAGGGGTGGAGACAGCTGGGATGGACCAAGGTCCAGATAAGAGAAGGGAGTTGGGGGCCTCACGGGTTGAAGGCCCAGACTGGTCTCTGACTCTGGCTCTGAGAGAACAGGCCATGGGTGAAGTCTGCCCTTGTGGGTGAGAGGAGGAGCGAGCTGGGGGGCAGCAGGTCTCCTGAGAAGACAAAAGAATCAGGAGCAGGAAGTTTCTATCAGAATGTAAGACTTAGCATATAGCATTGTTTGGCTTTATTTTAAAAAAACAAACCATCCTCTTTTTTAGCACGAATACAGCAGTGGCCCCCTGCTGTCTCCTGACAATCAAACATCACACAGCACTCACGCAGGTAGGTCATGCCCGGTGGCCTGTAGTACAGGTGTCGCTTCCTGAGTTACACCCTGGCCCATGGCAGCCACACAGAAATATACTTCTCATTGCACAAATCTCCCTTAAAAAAATAAATCAAGCAATCATCAGGTCTGAGAAGAGACGAATCACTGACTCCCCCCAGCGTGGAGGGACGAAGCTTGGTAGCAGAGGCCAGCTCTTCTGGCCCCTGGAGGTGGGGTGAGGGGTCCCCTGGCGTGGTGGCCAGGACTCCTGCGGACGGTGTGACTGCGGCCAGAACGCTGCCAGCGGCCTCCTTCATTGCTCAGAGATGGAAGGGATCAGTCCCAACGCCCACCGGTGGGGGCGAAACACTGGAAGCCCGGCCTGTCATCAGCGTCCCTAAGGCCCCCGCAGACTGGGACACAAATAGCTCCAGGCCCACGCAGCTCCCAGTCTGCTGACGAGGGTGGCTTGCTCCTGTTTCTTCTCTTTTTCACTTTTCCAGGGAGCAAATTCAGAGTAAGAGCTGGCAGTTCTGGAAACTTTTTCTCGCTTCTCAGACAACCGTGGCAGTAATGGAGAAGAGAAAAGACCTTCTCCAGGCACTCTGCTGATTTTCACAGGGGTGGGAAAAGAGGGGCCTTCTCTGGAGTGAGTGGTCCTCAGGGCCCAGTTGGCAGGGCTGGCGTGGAGATGCCCGCTCACGCCGCAGACAGAGTCCCTCAGGACCTGTGGCTGCTCTATTCCTGGCAGCTTAGAGGGCTTCACACGGGCTTTTGGACCCTGGCCACCCCTGCTCCAGGCCTGCAGCTCCCTGGACAGTCCCCAGAGCTGCACCCTTTCCAGAGGCAACAGGGGCTGTTAGATACACAGTGTAGCTGAGGAGTGGAGGGCCTCAGAGCAGGGTAGAATTTATCTGAGGTGGACGCCAGAAGGAGGAACCTCAGGGTGGGGGTTCCTGCTGACGGGGCGTAACCCCAGCACAGAGCAGAGCATGCTCAGTTGTGGGGCTGCCCTCCTTACAGCAGACAGGTGTTTAGGTAGGGCTTTGGACCCACAGCCTTGCATCTAGCCTCTATACCTAGCAGAAATTCTGACTGAGGAGCACTTGCTTTACCTGCCGACCCCGAGGGGGTTTCATTCCTATGCGCCATCCCTTGCATCCCTCCTCTCCCCAGCCCAGAAAACAAGAGGTTGCCCTTGCCTAGAAGCTTTGCCTCATTGGAGGGCCTGGATGGAGCCTCATCTGCTGGATGCTTGGGTGGACAGACAGGGCCCTCGGGAGAGAGACTGGAAGGCCAGAGGACAGACAGAGCAGGGAGGGTGAGCTGATGCGAGGCGGGGGGCGGTCTACTCTCCAGAGGGTGGTGGGACTGGCATTGGAGAGCCAGGCTCCCTGGGTGGCTCAGCAGGGCAAATTCCAGCAGAGAGGGCCGTGTGGGAAGCCTGGGCGCAGCCTGTTTCCTTGGTAACTGGCCTTTTCCAAACCCAAGCCTGGTGAGGTTCCATGTGGTGGGAGCCTGCAGATTTTCAGGGAAGCGGCTGTGCCAGCCTGTGGGTGGGGCGTGACTGGGAGGCCGCCAGCTCACCACCTCAGGTAGCAGAGGGACAGGTGGTGCCTGGGAGGCAGAGGCTGAGTTCCAGCAGGAGAGACCTTGACGTGAGGTGGAGAGTCCAACTTGAGGTTGGGGGACTTTTCTTTAACATTCATCTTTCTTCCAGTTGGAAGCAAGCACAGAAACTTCTCTTTGGTATCGGAATCACGGCTCTGAGGAGCTTACGGTTTCGCACTCTCTCCCATCACACATTTCGCTCTGGGTAGTGTTAACTGGATTGACTGAGAACAGCTTTACGCACACAGACTTCCAAACAGGCTTCCATTCCAAGGGAGAATGAGGCCGCCCAGGAGCTGCTTCAGAGGGAGGCTGGGAGGAGGCAGGCCGGGAGGGACAGCGGGAGCAACATCAGCAGCAGGAGCAGGGACACCCTGGGGGCAGTGGCCGCTGAGGGGTTAAGCACAGGCAGTTAGGTCCTCCGAACACCCTGAGCCGCCTGTGTGGGACCTGACGCAACACAAGCCCATGTCCTAAATTCACTCCAGGCTGCCTCTTTTTACCCCAATTAGAGCTCTTCTTCCCCCTGGTTTCTTTACATATTCATTCCTTTCCAAATTATGCTGCATGTATATTTATGGAGTTGCCTCCATCTTCTCCAACAACATTATTTTTAGCATGTATATTCATTATCCAAAAACACAGCCTGTGTTTCTATCATTGTCTGCAGCCTTCCTGCTTAGATCCTCCTGGATGCTTCCCCTTGATGCTCTGTGAATTGGGGGCCTTTGTGCTGCATCCCTGAGATCTACGGCACCCTTCAGTCTACTAATGGTTCTGGGGGGAGAGGCTCAGATGATGTCAGGGGAGCGTGGCGGGGCACCCCTCTTCCTCCATGGAGGAGGGCCAGACATGTGTGAACCAGCCTGCCCAGGGCTGTGGTCATCGCCCACCCAGCAGGCCGGGCCTACCTGTGTCTGAGCACTGCTGCTGAGACAGTATCCCTTCCAGAGCCACTACGTAGTCGGAGCCCAGCCAGTCTCCATACGTGGTCTTCTCCCCAACAGGCACTGCCCGGATTGTGGCATCCTTGAAAAGCAGGTCTTGGCCGTGATAGTTGGAGGAGTCGAACATTTTGAAGCCATTCTTATTGTGGTCATCGCCAAACAGGTCCTGGGAGCATCACAAGAAGATCTGTGTTTCATCTGGACTCACCCTGGTCACCCACGTCCTCCTTATTGATTGTTTTACATACAATGAGCCAAAGAGCAAGGCCTATCGGGATACCCAGACACTGATTTGAAACCCTAAGTTGACAACTCCCCAGTCTCTGTCATCAAGAGGGGTTTGAGATAAGATGGGACAGTGGCCGCTACTGTCAGCAGGCCACTCAGAAACACCCTCCCGGCCAGGCCCTGGATACAGAGCCAAGTCTGACCATCACAGGAAGAAGGAGCCCAGGCATGAGAGGGGTGGGGACGAGACTGCCCAGTGTTTGCTCAGCCAGCTCAGCTGAGCAACCTTTGGTACAACACTTTCTCACACTCGCATGGGTGTTCCCACAAATCAAATGATTTTACAGAGTGCCTTGTGTTCTGTCATCAGCGCCTAGAGTAGAACCCTCCCTCCCAGGGGCCTAGAGACCGTGGCAGGAGCCTCTCCCTTCTCTGCTGAGCACTCCGGCTACAGCAATAGATGGTAGCGCCAGAAGAGCCACTGAAAAGACCAGAGGGGGTGTGGGAACTTATATTCCACCACAGAGGAGGCGCCAGGGAGCAGGGAAGTACCCAGCTGCCAAAGGGGCAGAGTGGCATCAGTCCTTCTTGGACTCTGGTTTTGTTTGAAAGCCATTCACCTTCTCCGCATCACATCACTTTAGAGGGTTTAGGGACCCCTTGGGGAAGTCCAGGGACCAGAGGAAAGAGCTCTGGAACTGGGGCAGAACCACCTGGCCCTGCTTCTGCGGGGCTTACAGGTGGAGGAGGGCAGTTCAAGCCCACATCAGTGTGGGTAGGGAGAACGGGGTGGGCTCCCTGTCAGACAGCCCGGGTTCAAATTCTAGATGTGTTTTGAAAATGTGGCCCAGAAGACTGCAGAGGGATTGGATGTGAAGCTGGGGGACAGTGGGGTGCCCATGACCAGCCCTGAGGAAATGGGAAGGTGTTCACTGAAGTCGGGGGAGGCCAGGGAGGAGAGGAATCCGACTTTGGATTTGAGATGCCTGCTTGAAATAAAGCTGAAATGTCAAGCAGTTAGTTAAAGAATCAGGTTTGAGACTGAGTGGTGGGGTGGAAGTCAGGTCTGCAGACGTATGCTTAGGAGTAGTCGGCACATAGAGGGTACTTAAGGAGCTGGGACTGGATGAGACCAACTGGTGTGGGTGTGGACCCAGACGAGGATTTAGGATTGAACCCAGGCGCCTCCAGCAGTTAGTCTGGGGAAGGGAAGAGGAACTAGCAAGGGAGATTGGGAGGAGTGGCCAAAAATAAGTGGGAGGAGAGTCAGGCAGATTTGGGGACCAGGAACCAAGGAGGAGAGAGCCCCCAGGAGGAGGGGTCGAACTTCAGGAGGAAGGGTGCAGCGTGCAGACTGGAAACAGCCACTGGGCTTAGCAGTGTGGTTTTCTGGGACCCTGACTAGGGTGGTTTCAGAGCCCTTTGGGGGTCTGTCTAGAGTGGGCTCCAGCTTAAAAGAGACCAGGAAAGTAACTGATGCCTGCAGAGTACACAGCCCTCTGAAGGGATTTTGCTGTAAAAGGGACTATGATTCTGGTGATGAGATGGTATGAGAGGGTATGCTTGTTTTTTAAAGATGGTAGAAATAACAGCTTGTTTGTACATTGCTGAGAATGGCCTAGCTGAGAAGGCAAAATATAGAATTTGGGGAGACAAAGGGGGTAGGTGCTGCAGAGATGTGCTTGGCTAAGTGAAAAATCACTGGGCGTCCCCCCGCCCCAGCCTTCTTCAGTTCTCCTTTGGTCTGCTCCAGTTAGACCGAGGCATCCCGGGGACTGAGGTCACCCCTCTGTTGCCCTCCCACTCCACTCCTGTGAACATGTAGTCCCAGCTCTGGCTCACCTGAGCCCTGTCCAGCAGTCCGTACACGGTGAAGATGTTGGTGTCGGGCCGGACCATGACGGCGTGGGACGGCATCTGTGCCAGATTGCAGGCTGCAAATTGGTACGCCTCAGCCCGGGCCCCGTTGGGACACAGCAGCTCGTAATCCTCCGACCTCAGCCTAGCAGCCCAGGGCTCAGAATTGTGGCCTGAGGAGCAGAGCAAGGAAGAGAGAAGAGTAGAGAGAGGCTACTGTCCTCCAGGGGCCCCTGATCCTTGACGGAGGGCAGTGGGCCAGCTCCCCAGCCCTCCATCTGTAAGTGCCCAGCTCTATTGCCAGAGCAAGAAACCCAGCTGGGCTCGAGTGCTGGCAGGAGCTACCGTCAGTAGGGAGTAGCTGCTCTGTCCTCGTGATAGTAAAGCAGGGCAGGTGTGATCACCCCCATTTTGAAAAATCTGGGGCTCTGAAACAGCCTCTGGCTAAGACCACCACCTGTTTTACAGGTGTCAGGCCTGAGGGTGGGAAGTGTTCCAGGAGGAGTGGATCAACCTCCTTCTGTAATGCCTGAAGCTCTCAAACCGGAGGCGGTATGACATCACAAGAGGACCCCTAGGAGGCAGTTCCAAGGGACCCTGCTTGCAAAGAAACTCATTCAGTGGCTTCAGGGTGAAGCCAAGTAATCTGCATTTTACACCAGAAGAGGTGGTTGGTTCAAGCACTTCCTGAGAAACACGACCCTCCCGAAGCACATTATTCCTTTGTCTTCTTGCCTTCAGTGAGTGGCCACACCCTTTTGCAGAAGAAGCTCTGGTGGACCCGAGCAGACCTCAAAATAAAGAAAAACTGAGCCCCCCGGGGAGACAGGTGTCTTGCTGCGGGTGAGCCCCGCAAGGCCTTCCTGACCACAGGCTCAGGGCTGGGACAGGCAGGGCTCATAGTCTCCTGCAGGAGCACACGGCTCTCTCCTCCCGGGGGTGACCCCCAGTCTTCTTGGTGTAACTTCGGCAAGGGAGAGATGAATGGTGGGAACAGAGGGAGCGCGGGGCCTGGGGCCTCCCCAGGTCTGTCGGAGCAAGGGGTCCGCAGCCTCTGTGACCTCGCTGATGTGGAATCTGGGTTTCGAGAGTCTAACTGGAGTTTTTTCCCTACACACCCCCCACTCCCCCTTTGGGCTATAGTTACGCTTTACTGTGCTGAGGGTCTAGGAAGACCTAACTTAGGGCAGAGAGGGAAAGACTGAGACTCCAGTGTGTGGGTTTCAAAGCCTACAGCCCCTTGCAGGCAGCATCGACAAGGCGTGTAGGCAGTGGGTGCTGGAGGGAAACGGCCCAGTCTTCAGCAGGATGGATTCCCTGAATGAGGGAGAACAGGCGGGGGGCCGGGGGTGCTGCCTGCGAAGGCCCAGGCGTGGGCTTTGGGTGTCCGCCTGTGAACTCTTTCCCAGTGGTGTCAGGAAGGTGACCTCACACGTGCCGAGAATGGGGTGCACCCTGCATGGCATAGGCGCTGCAGTCTTCTCTGTGCACGGGGCTGAGCTGCTCAGGACTGTAGGCCAAGCGCCCATGGGAACGGACGGCCCTGCGGAGGGGCCAACCCTCTCTCTGGACCTGTTACTGAAGCACCTCCCAGCGGCGGTCTTTCCAAACTGATGGCGTGTCTACCAACCCCGTGGGAGCAGGGATTTAGATTCCAGACCAGGGAGGCCGTCACGTGTTCCATGCATCTGGCTGTGTGGTCTGAAGTTTGTTTATACCAGGTGTCGAGACCCAGGGGTCTGCTGGACTCAATCATCCCTGGTCTGGGGCCTGGATCGTGTTGCGGGTGGGGAACAGGCCTGAAATCTGGCCCAGCCCCTCCGTCCCCCCCACATACCATCCGTGTTGTCGAAGACGGTGGTGTGCTTGACGAAGGCCACGTCCCCCGCATTCTCAACCAGGCACCTGCCACGCACACAGGAAGCCAAGGCAGGTGTCAGAGGAGGGTCCCGCCCGGCCTGGGCCTGGCCCCAGCCCACCCCCAGGCCCGCGGGGGTACCTGAAGGCTCCGCTGTCGCCATAGTACCGCTCCTGGCTGTTGCCCACACACTTGTTGCGGCCCTGCTCGTCCCCCACGCAGAGCTCACACAGCGAGGACGGGTAGTCCTTGGGGTTGTTCACGGGCACACAGCTGGCACTGAAGAACTCGCTCACCGCTGGGGCAGAGGGGAGGGCTGTGTTGAGGGGCCCGTGGCAGGAAGGGTGACCCGGGGGGAGGTGGGTGGCTCCCCCGCGGACTGCCTGCCCCTGCCTGGCCCTGTGGCTCCAGGGCACCTGTACGCCCCGCTGCCCGCTGGTCCGCAGGGGCACGTCTCCTCCTGTGAGCACTCAGAGGTGGTCTGATGCAGGAGGCCCTCACAGCCTCAGGTGAGAGGTCACCCAGCCCTGGTGCCCCCTTACCACCTCACAAACTATTTGGTTCCTGACAGAGCAACTGCCCAGGAATCTGAGAGGGGATCAGTCAATCCTCGCACCCTCTGTGTGCCCAGGCAGCACAAAGATCTCGCCAGCTTCCTACTGCACCCCTTCACCATGACTGTGCATGATTTAATACACAGGGCCCTGCTGTAGCACTTACGCAGACAGCTGACATGTTCTAACCGGGGCCCCAAATGCCCAAGGGCTGCTGGCAGGGGGGGCAGCCACGTGACTGGACAGTGATACAGCCAGGCCCAGAGCCCACTGCACTCGCCCACTCCCAGCCCACTGCAGCCAGTTCACTCTGGGAGGGGGAAGGGGTAGGGGAAGCAGGTACCCAACCCCCTGATTTCTTGTTCGGGCCAAGAATATTCCCCAGCCTCCCCGGAATGCCAAGCAGGAAGAGGACGTCTTTCCAGGGCTGCACTCTGCGGGGACCCAAGCCTCAGAGTTGGCTCCTGGCCCGGACACCCCCAAAGAAGAGTTTGCGTGTCTGTGCCCCTGTGGAGCGTGGCACCTGTGAGGACGTCGCAGGCTTTGGGCCGGATGAAGCCTCTGTGCACGAGGGCGCCCACCGGGATGTCCCAGCCCGAAGGGCTGCCGAAGCCCGAGTGACAGGATCGCTTGCCCCGGAGCTCGTCCAGGGAGAAGGCGTAGGAGCTGTTCCGCCTCACCACAGCCACCACGAAGTACGAGTTGCTCCTGTCCTCGGCTGGGGGGCGGGGGACAGCAGGCCCCGGTCAGGTGAGAGCCAGGGGCACGCCCCCTAGGGGCCTGTCCCTCAAACCATTTCCTCCCGTTGCTCTCTCAGGCCTTGGGGAGTCGCAGTGCTGCCCGGTCTGAGAGCCAGGAGGGTATTCGCTGAGCATGCCCGGCAGCCGGACCCCTGCTCGCCTCCCCTAACGACAGGCAGCCTGGCTCCACTCCTCAGACTGCTGACTTTCCCACTTCCCAGTAGTTCTTACCCAAAGGGATTCTTTTCTGCCCTTACACCCACATGGTATTTTTCTCACTTCCTGGGAGGAAGGTGGAGGCCCAGTTAAGGCTGCAGAAGCCTTTTCCCTGAGTCCAGAGATTTTTCACATGCAAGTGAATGGGACCAAAGGTCCTGGTCACCACCTAAGTGGACACTTAAGCAAAGGCCACTGGCAAGGTGTGCATGAGCGACCTCCCATGAGCTGCATGGAAGGCTGGACAAGTCTCAGGAGACGGCCAGGGCACGCTGCTCCAGGATGTGTGTATGGCCTGGAGTGCAAGTGAAGGGCAGCCTTTATAATTCTAAGAGTTTGCTTAAAAAAAGAGAATAATCTGCAGTAGAGTGTGTATGTGGAATGCAAAGCGTAATGCGTCGATTCTCTGACCCTTTTGAGAAAGTTTGCTGGTGCCTGCCAGACTTTCAATGACTGGGTGGCAACACGGGCCTGGGGCACCAGGGGCTTGCCTGAGACGGATGGCAGTCAGCCAGGGCCAGAGGCACAGAGGGAGAGTGGCCGAGCGGGAACTTGCTCATAGATATGAAAGCACCAACCACCTCCTGGCGGAGGCCAGGTGGCTGCGCCTGCACTCACGGGCATAGAGCTCCCCGGCCGCTGGAACCAGGCCGTATGTTTTCCCGGAGGTATAAATGTCCTCGCCACTCAGGGTCACTGCGTCGATTTGGCCGGCCTGGAGGAGGACAGGAAGAGGAGCCAGACTGGGAGAGGTTCCAGGATGCTCCGGGTGTTGGGTACCCCATCCTGCACCATCCCTTATGAAGAGGGGTGGGCAAGAGGGGTGCTTAGAATCCTGGGTGCTAAAACCAACCGCCAGCAGCATTTCTGTTTGCAGGCGACTATTTCATTCTTTCAGCTATTATTGAGGTTTCCTGATATTAGCCTCATTCTGAGCAGGTCAGGGTCTGCCAGTCAGAGGCCTGTACCATCACCCCAGTCCCTGGCCACAGCCCGATGAGTGAGCCATGCCTTAAAAGAGGCAGTCTCGGCCCTCCCTGGTGGCGCAGCGGGTTAAAGCACTGCACTAAGAAGCTGAAACCACTTCTGCATGAGTTCGATTCCCGCCTGCCCCGGAGGTGACCACATGGCGTGGCAGACCTCTCCTGACCATCCGCTGCTCCCCTCACCAGTGTACTTCGTCGATCTGCCTGTTCTGCTCCCCACTCTGTCTCTGGTGAAGCCTCTCGCCACCCCTGAGCCTCTGGCCTGTACCCCAGTTCTGTATGCACAAATAAATAAATCTTAAAAAAAAAAAGGCAGTCTCTGGGCCTCTGTGAGGAGGCTCCAGGTTGAGGGACTCTTCCCTCAGACCCTCCTGGAATTTTCTGGGTTACCGATGCCCCATCCTGCTTTCCATTCTGAAACCTCTGGTAAGGTGGCTCCTTAGATCCCGTAAGTTCTGATGGAAGAGTAGGGGGTGAAACTGGACACCTGTACCCCAGGGAGCTTCAGAGGCGTGGAGGTGTGATAGTCGGTAACAGGCAACGGCATTGCTATTTTCAGCCAAATGGTGCATCTCACATCTCAAATGGGCCAGTTCATGCTCCTGCTCCCCACTCAGTGAGAAGGCCTCCTTGGGGTCCCCTGGGAGAAACAGCCTCCTCTGCCCTGTCTCCAAAAAGCGGGAGACTGATCCCTGGAGTCCTTCCTTCTCCCCTTTCTATGAGGTTGTCAGTGGAGACCTTCTCTCCACAGGCTGTCCCTGAACCCTCCGGACCAGGACAGGGGCTGGTTAGCACCCCCCCCCCACCGCCCACCACGCCCTCCAGGCATGGTCCCACCTGGATCTGTTCCATGCAGTGCTGGGGGGAGCTGGCTGACACGCACTGGATCTCCGGCCTGAGCTTCTGCCGGCTAAAGGCCACAGCCATGTCTCCACACTTCTGGATCTCAGGAGTGGACAGCACACACCAGCGCAGGTAGGGGGGCAGCCCTGTGTGGGTGTGAGCATGTGGTCACACGCCCTGGGTGGGCCCGAGCATGGGGGGGAGGGCCAGTGCCTCAGCAGGAAGAACTCAGTCCGAGTCGAGGGAAATTCTGGCCCTCACCCTCCTTAGCTGCTCATATTTAATATATGAGCCTGTTTCCTCACACAGAAAGGGAGGCAGGAGGTCTGAGGCAGATCGAGTCAAGTAGCTGACTCAGGCCTGGCAGCCTGTTTTCTTGGTGGCAGATGGAGGGATGTGGGTTGGGGGCTGCTGGCAGGAAGCCCATTTGTAGACAATGCCTGAGCCAGGCCGTGGTCATGGGGTGTCAAGGAGGAGTGCCCCATGGAAGGAGAGCGACAGGCCTCGAGGACTTTGGCACAGAGGAGAGGAGACCTCAGAAAGACAGGTCCTAATGGCCTGGACCCCGCCCTCTGGGGCAGGCAGAGCTTCCAGGGTCACAGCAGGCCATCTGATCCCCAAGAGTCTTCCTTCCCGAACCCCAGAGATGGGAGATGGAAGCAACAGGTTCCCAGGGAGCCCAAGAGGTGCACTTCCCGCGGTGAGTGCCCCCCAGTCACCTCTCTAGAAAGCCCTGCTTGCCAGGCTGGGGTGGTGGGGGAGGAGACAGGCGGACTCACGGTTGGGGTCACACAGGAGGCCCTTCATGGCGTGCAGGTACTCGCGACCCAGCCACGCCTCGTAGGTCTGCGTGGCGATGGGCACCAGCTCTGAGGTGGTGTCTTTGAACAGCAGGTTCTTCTGGCCATAGGCCTCAGAGCTGAACATTTGGAAGCTGCTGCCCTCATGGCTGAACAGACGCTATGTGTCAAGGGGGAGGGGTGTCGCTGGTGAGGTGCTGAGGGGGCGCATCTTTCCTCTCAGTCAGCCCCACCATCTCCCTGTGCCCTGTCCGGCGCCCGCTCCGAGGAGCGTCACCAGCCTTCCTGTGTTTCCCCTGCATCCCGCCTGGTCACACTCAGTTGTCAACTGTGATATGTGGCCCAGGTTGTCCTGAGAACAGGCAGTGGGGCTGGGCAGCGGTGGTACAGAGGGGAAGAACAAACGCAGTGGGTATGCCCAGCAGGGATTTCAGAAAGCATATCAAATTAAAATTAATTAAAGTTGCACCTTGACAGTTATTGGCTGTGTCATCTTGTTGACTGGCTCATATGTTCGTTCTGGTTTTGATTTTAGGAGCCACACTAAGGGGCCCCTGAGCCCCCTGGTTTCCTGTCTCGGGCCAGCCCTTTTCCTTACCACTGTGCAGCTGGTCTCTCCTTCACACTGACCTGACCTGAGGGGGACTGCACAGGCCTGGATGCCCAGTTGGAGTCTGTCCCAGAGGACGGTCTCCGAGTCCTGCCTTCCGAGCCCACCAGGAGCCCAGCACTAAGCCTGAGCTCCCAATCTGGAGTAAGACGAGGCGGTCCGGTGTCACCCTGGAAGTGCGTGGGTGCCTTCGACTCACCTGGCCTTCATTGAGCAGCCGAAAGATGAGCCCCCCATCTGTGTCAGCCCGGACCACCACTGCATGAGCCGGCACCCGGGCCAGATGGCATCGCCTCCACTCGGTGACGTCAGCTCGACTGCCATCCCGGCACAGCAGCTCGAAGTCCCGTGACAGCAGCGTCTGGTCCCAGGAGGGCAGGGTGTTCCCTGGGAAGATGGGGAGCTGGAGATGAGCTAACTCCTGTCGTGGGAGGGCTGGGAGAAGGCCTTGGGAAGGACCAGGAGAGGGAGCCTGGGGAGAGGCTCCTTAGGCCACTGTCCCACAGTGAAATGAACTGTGTGAGGAGGTGAGAACCAGGAGCACCAGGAGGGGAGAACCAGAACGACACCAGGAGGTGAGGACCACGACCCAGAACCCAGGCTTCAGCAGAGCTTGGCGGCTTCACGCTGTTAGATCAGGTCTTTCAGTGGATTGTGCTCCCTGATACCTACCACAATAAAGTGGACTGAAAATAATAGAAAACATGGAAACAGAATTGCTCATTAAAGAGAATGAGGAAGCGAACAAGAGAAGTGTAGGATGAGGGAAGAAGCGCACCAGGAGTCCAGGATGCGTTCACTGCTGTCACTGCCCATCACACTGGCTGAGTGGAGGGCAGGGCCAGTGGTGGCTGGGGTAGGCATGGTGGACGTGAACCATGAAGACTCCAGCAGCACAGGGGCCTGGAGAGCGAAGGGTGGGCCTCCAGGGGGGTCACTCACACTGTTGACACTGTGGTCTATTTCCTCCAAGTCCCTTTTTCCGTTCTGATTTCTAACCATTTTTAATATAGTTAAGGACATCCTTGAAAGGCAATCTTGGATTGTAATTTTTTTTTGATGGACTGATTTAAAGTATTTCCCCGTATTATTGGAAACTTGCCATAAAATTCATTTGTAAGGAAAGCAAGATTTATTTGAAAGAGTGACTCTCCCTACCCATAGGAATATTAAGAGGACTGTTAAAATTGTCACTAAACAGTGCAATCAAATAACCACAGATGGTGCTACATTTCTATGACTTTTAAATTTTAAAATGAGGGGGTTAAACCTCTGCTAGGAATGAGGAGGGGAAAAGAATTTGTGGGATCATGAAAATTCTGTTCACTCGAAAGCTATTTAAAAACCAAAACCAAAACTAAGAGAGTAATAGTTTGGAAAACTCCATAAAGGTCATTTTTAATGATTGCATGATAATTTAAGCACACTCAACAATTACTCACCGTCATTCTCTCCCCACTCCCCAACTTTCCTCTATTTTTAAACTGCTGCAAAACCTTTGTATAGAACTCTGGGGGATCATTTGGTCTTCCCATGAGAGAAATGGAACACTTATGTATTTCGATCTGTCCCTCCTATTTTCACGGATTAGGGACAATTAAAGTCGTATTATTTCATTATATCAGACATTTATGTCAATTCCACTCTTTTGTTCTTACCATTTTTTTTTTTTTTTTTTTTTTGTCAGGGGACCTATTTTCATAGTATCATCCTACTTGGGAGACAAGCCTCTATGCTTTCTCCTCTTAGATCACTTTCTTCTTTTCCTCAAACCTGGTTCTTATTACTGCCTTCATAAATGTTACACTACATGATTCAAAAGTCAAAGCTTCACAAAAAAAGATGATGATTTAAGGACAGTATGAGACATTCTGAAGTAGATGAAACTAGAAAGATAAATAAAGGTTTGACTGGTGGCTGCTGTTTGGGGTTGGAGAAAGGACAGAAGATTTGAAGGAACTTTGGTGGTGAAGATTCTGTCAGTTACAGGAAACCAAAGAGATCTAACAACTAATTCCCATGTGAGATCAAAGATTAGATATCCTGGGTTGAAGAGGGATAGCTAGTGAATCTGGACTATGGACTGTGGGTTACATAATAATATTGTCTCAATGTTTCCTTTCTGGTATTTGCTAATGTACTGTGGTAAGTGGCTAGGTTGGCATCTCCTTTCTTAAGAGATACCTATTAAAGCACTACAAGTGTAGGATACAGAAAAATGAACTCTCAAAGGGTTAAAAGAGAACACCTGTATAGAAAGAATGTGAAACCTACCTGGCAAGGGCTGAAAGTTGGAATCTGGGTCAAAGAATCAATGGGGGTTCTTTGAGTTATTCCTGCAACTTTTCTAAAACTCAATTATCCCAAACAAAAATTTAAGTGATTCTGGCATAATGGATGGCACATAACACCAACCCCTCTTTAGTTAAGTCTTAGCCAGGGAAAAGAGATGGCTTCTTCAGACAACAGCAGAGAAGTGCCAGGAAGGAACGGTAAGAAGCGCTAGAGCGGAGATTTGAAAACTGTTTTCCAAAAGCAGAACCTGATCTTTGAGTGGAAACAGAACCCAGTGCCAAACAGAAATCAGAGCAGGGCCAGGCTGCTCTGAGCGCCCCGGCCCTGAGGAACAGCTTGAACTCAAGGGTACCTTTGCACAGATGGGCACTCTGAGGTTTGTGTGTCACCCAGAGACTGCCCATCTCCTACCAGAGCTCCTGCTACAGGCCGCCCATCCAGGGTCCTGCCTGAGGCAGCTCCTGTCCCCATCAAGGAACAGTTCTGGGGCCCACGCCCTGCTCCTGGGGCACCCTGACCCCCACTCACCATCCGTGTTCTCCAGCACCGTGCTGTGCTTCACAAAGGCCACTTCCCCGGCCCCTTCTGCCAGGCACCTGCGAGCAAACATCAGTGAGTTGGATGCTCAGAGAGCCCCTCACCCTCAGCCCCCTGACTCTGTCCACCTTCCGCCTCTGGGGGTCTGGCTTGGGCACGGGGTGTTGTGTTGGGCATGGGTCTCGCAGTCACGCAGTCCAGAGTTCTGGCTCCCTAGTTTGTGGGTTGTGTGGCTTTGCCAAGTTGTGCAGCCTTCCTCGCCTCTAGAGGTATACAGGGGATGTGAAAATGGCTCCCCATAGGGAGCAATCCCTTGTAGATCCTGCTTAGCCTAGCTCGGGCCTGAAAGGAGCTGGCACTCAAGTGGGGGCAGCCTGAAGGCATGGTGCTTTGAAGATGACTCTGCCCTGCCTCAGGGGCTGGGCCTGGATCTCCTTATGTCCCCAAGAGTCCCAGGGAGTGGGGACAGGGCTTTATGTATCCTCTATATGTCTCTGCCCAGGGAGGGAGGGAGGTCAGCACCTACAGGGCGAAGGGGCTGCCTGGGTCCCCAAAGTCAGGAAATAAACAGGAGCTGGGCTGGGGGCTGGCACCAGCAGGGAGGGGTGGGGGAGGGGCATTTGCGGGGGCTGAGGACTGCATTTGCCGGGATCTCAGCCTGCAGCACAGGCACCCCCCCACCCCAGCCCCCCCGCAGGTCCCCTCCAGGTGGAAACACTGAGGCCCAGGTATGGGAGGGCCTCAGGGGGCTTCCTTCCCTACGTGGTTCCTTATTTGTGGGCTGGCAGACATGCACCACAGGCTGTTAGGGACTCCGTTTAGGATCCTTTTGTGAGGTGATGGAAAGTGCGAGCTTGAGCCAGACAGACACGTCAGCCCTGAGGGTCAAATTCCAGGGCCCCTGCACCAAACCCCCACTGTCCCCCCTGCTAGTCTGAGACACCAGGGTGGGAGTGGCCAAGGCTGGTTTTCCATTTCCCTCTCTTTTAGTCCTCACCTCTAAATACACCAAACATTGACTTTATGAGCAAACGCACTCTGGCTTATTCCGGTATGATGTTTTTAAACTAACCAGATACACAAACTATATAAAGGGCGCTTTGATGAGATGCAGCCAGTGTTGCCTGCCCCCCCTCAGGCCTCCCTGGCCTCCCACAATAAGGTGTTTTTCCCCAGCTCAAGGCCAAACCCCCCCCCCACTCAGCCCCACCCCACCTCTCTCACCGGAAGGCCCCGCTGTAGTCGTAGTATCTCTCCAGGGGGCTCTTGTCACACACTCCCTCCCCAGCTCCATTACCCCTGCAAAGCTGGCAGAGGGACTCGGAGTAACTGGTCTCTCCTGCACCAGGGACACAGCTGCCCCCAAAATAGTTGCTGACAGCTGCAGGAAGGAAGGAGAGGTGGGTCAGTTAGCCCAACCGCACAGCGCACAGCCTCAGGTCTCCACCCAAGCCCCAAGGGGGCCCTGAGGCCCCTCTGCTCCTGACCAAAGGGCTGGGTTCCCCCGGGGCCAGTGCTGGACACTCCAGGGTTTAGTCTAAGGGAAACCAGAGAATTCGATCTGATTCCCAGACTGGGGTCAGAAAGGTAGCAATAGGCATTATTTAAAAAGGGCTTAGGGGAACGGAACATTCACCCCCAAATGGTCATGTAGGACAACTGTGAAAGGGACACTATTCTCACTGCAGCTTTCATTTCAAAATCAGCTATATATAATCAGTGAAAGTAGGGAGAGGAAGAAGTGCTTACTTAATGAATATAATTAAACGGATAGACCACACTTCTTAGAATACGCAAGCAAGGGAGAAGGAGGCATTGTGGGTGGAGGGTCTGGCCTGCCATCAAAGACCCCTGATTTTACTCACTCTTGGGGCCAGTTCTAGGTTTCTATTGAAATTAAGCACCTTGAAGTGCAATTTTTTGGGTCTCAGTGAACATTCGACTCCCTCTCATTTTGACTCTTTCAGGTTTGCGAGCAGGTGTGCGTCTGGGCACCCAGCACCAGAGGTGCTGAGCTGTGGGGTGGGGCCGCAGTGAGATGGGTTCCCTGCAGGAAACAGACCCGTCCATGCCCTGCGTGAATTATCTCAGTCCGCACCGCACAGTGAGGTGAAACAGTTCCCATGTCACAGTGCAGCAAAGTGAGGTTTGATGCGGTAGAGGAATTTCTGAGGGCAGGTCATGAGCCGCAGGCAGGCCCAGATGTTGGCCCACGTTCTGGACAGTAAAGTTGGGCTTGCAAAGTTGTGCTTTCCAGCCTCCCCCACGCTGCCTCAAGCCCCAGAAGCGCTGATGGTCCAGGGAGCAAACAGGCGGTAACACACTCATGGGAAGGGACTCGGGACACCCCACACTCCTCTCAGGGCTGGACCCCACGAGATGTGGCTGTGTGTCAGGGCCATCTCGTCAGGGTACCGTGCCTGATGTGGAGAGCAGGTGAGCCGGAGGAGAAGCCCAGGCATTCGAAGCAGGCCTTCTGCCAGGCACCCCCAGGCTCCACCTCACTTTCCCTGTGCGTTTTATTCTCAGCAGCCCCTTGGGATCACTCCCACCTTCTTTCCCCAGGAGCATCTTCCTCCTGCAGACCTATGCCTGGACTTGTGGGGAAGCAGCAGGGCTCTGATAGCCACTTGTGAGCTTCTTGGGTGCACGTCAGCCATTTGCTTGGGTCCCGAAAAAAACCAAGCTTCTGATCCAGAAAGCCGAGGACGTCTTTCTGGAAATAGGACCCACACGGGCGAGAGTCACTGGGGGACCTACCCCCTCCCAACTGTGGATTGGGCCGTGCACTTGGCTGTGTCTGGGGACACTGTGATGAGTGAGGGGGAGTGAGAGCCCTGGAAAGGCCAATCACCAGATTCAGACGGTGCCACACCAGGCTGGCCAGCACGGCAGGAGGGAGTGAAACCACCACCGAAACCACCACCGGGCGTCCAGGAAGGGCCCTGAGGACGGTGGGCCTGTGCGGCTCCCCCAGGAGGTAGCTGTGCAGGCAGACCTGGAGGGGAGGGGCAGTGAAGAGCTGGGAGGCCCAGTGGGCCAGAAGCCCTCACCTTGGAGCACGTTGCAGCCCATCACAGAGAGGCGGCCGCTGTCCACCAGGTAGCCCACGGGCACGTTCCAGCCCACCGTCCTGTTGATGCCCGTGTGGCAGGACTTCACGCCCCTCAGGGTGTGGATGGTCACGTTGGAGCTCCTCCTGACCACAGCTACGGCATAGTAGGAGGTGCCCACTTCTAGAAGGAGGGAAAGAGCAGGGAGGGCAGCAAGGGAGAGGCCCTGAGAGCGGCTGCGACCTGTCGGAGGTGGGTCAGGTGTGGCACCATATTGCAACCACTGATGGCCAGAGGGCTCGTTTCACATCTTCTAGCGGGACTCCGCCTTCCTCCAGCCTCATGTGCTGGGTAGCTCCTTGCAAGATGAATTCACTAGCTAGCTTCCCGCCTTTCTTCCCAAGCCAGTGGGCACTTAGCCAGGAGCACGTCAGTGCACACCAGGAGGGCTGTGGTGGCTGAACGCAGGAGTCACTTATAGGTCTCTTGCTCCCTGAAAGTCTAGATCTTCAGAGAACTTAGAGGGTTTGAGGAAGGGCGACTGTGGTTAGGGGCGATTGTGGTTAGAGGAGTTGGGGGAAACAGGGAGGCAGGGCAAGGGATTCCCCTAGATTATATAAAGTGGTTTCCCATTGCTGAGGGCAGAGGAGCGGGGAGAGAGAGGAGGAGAGAACAGTGTGTTCCTGTATCACTCAAGGTCCAGAACGGGGTGCATGAAGGTGGGGTGTGCAGCTTTGCAACATGTGCCAGATGTGGCCCCAACAGTGCCATGAAGACAAGACAGGATGACTCCTTATGGGGATGGAGGATCAGAGACCTCCCTTCTCTCTCCTCAAACACACACACACACACTCACTTTTCACTCACACACATTGCTGGTGCCCTGCACCCCTAGAAAACAAAGCCAGTGCTATTCTCTGCACACCTGGGTCTGGTCCTGGACGCCGAGGCATCCTCATCTGGTCCCACCCTAGGCTCAGCCACAGGGCCCTTTCTTTCCAGTTCCTGGAACACACCAAATTTCTTTCCCTGGGACCCTTGTCAGCGCTCAGCCTAAACGGCCCTCCTGTCTACCCTCTTTCAACAGAAACATTAGTTCTCCGGCATGGCCTTTACTTTCTTCACTGGGAACTACACTTTTGCATTTATGTGGTGCTCTCTGACTCCTGCTCTTGATGGGCAGGCTTGGCTCCGTGCTCAGGCCTGGATGGAGCAGGAAGGCTGGTGGCCTGCAGGTGGGACTGAATCCCGTGTCATCTGGCAGTCATTGATTTGACAACAGTGAGACCCTGTGCTGTAGTAGACAAAGGAAACAGGAGGATCAGAGCTTGGTGGGGTGAGCCGGTGCTCTGGTGTAGACAGGATCTCTCCAGGCAGAAGAGGCTTGGAGGTGTCCCCAAGCTGGACTGTGTCCCCAAGCTGGAGGGTGGGCAATGGGCAAGTAGAGGTGAGCAGCCTGAGCCAGCAGTCTGCCTGGGGAAGGGCAGGGTCTTGGGCAAAGCAACTCACCTGCCCAGCATAAACTGTGTCAGGGTCACACACACTGGCTCTCAGGAGTGACTGGGCAGGTATCATGACCACAACTTACGGTCAAGAAAATGGAGTCTGTCCAGGGTCACAGAGGGCCCCAGGAAGGGGCAGAGCTGGGATCGTTGTTGAGCTCTGCAGCAACCAGTCACCCCCTCTTGCTGAGTCCTGGTTCCCTCCATGTTGCTTCTGACAGCGCTGCTAAAGTATGTGGGGAGCTGGTCCTTACTGAGGTTCCCTGCACCCCAGCAACTTGCCCAGAACCAGGCATGGGACCGTCCTTTGGTAAACTTGGGGGGGATTTCTGGGTTCTCCACAAGGAAAAACAGACTCAAGCTACTGTTTCTGGCACTGCTATCCTTGCAGAGTTCAAGAGAGTTCACAGATGGGGATCTGTGAGAGTTGGTCCGGCTGTTTCTCATGTATGGGGTACCTGTGTGGGCCAGGCTGGTGCCCAGCTCCAAGGCTGCAGGGTGGGGCGAGACCGCAAGGACACTGCAGAGGGGCTTCCTTTCTCCTCCACTGACTCACATACCTTGATCATATACTTCGCCCACCACAGGCTTCAGGCCGTGTTCCTTCCCTGCCTCATAGATGGCTCCTCCGTCCAGAGTGATGGCATCAGCTTCCCCTGCCTATTGGGAACATGTGGGTCAGCCCAGCCTGGCTTGAGCCAATCTGGGAGCACTTGGGGCCACCCATCAGTCTGCCCAGGCCCCTTGAAAAGCCCCGCTGGCCCACACCAGTCCTCTCCTCGTGTGGGGAGCCCTGTCCTGTCCTCCCCCAGAGCCTAGGCGGCAGCATTCTTAGCCTGAGGCCTTGCTTTGGTTTTCTTACTATGTTATTTTTAAAAATAGTATTTTTATGGAATTTATAATATATGTACCTAGTTTACTAAAAAGATAGTTTATATAGTGAAAAGGGGTCGCCTTCACTTTTCTGCTTGTCAGTCTACTGCCTCCCCTGATAACCTGTTTCTGGGATTTCCTCTTTAAGCTACAGACTAATCTTTCCCTTTAATTTTAAAATATAAGTGTCTGTGTGCTACCTGAGGCTATAGAATTGGTTTCTGCTTCACAGTGGAGCCTGTGAGTCTGTGGCCCCACGTGAGTCTATGAATGGGTTAGGTCTTGGCGCCAGTGGAAGAGAAATCCAGATTCCCTATGCTTGATCCCGAGGCTTTACCTCACACCTTGACTGCCATTAAAGCACTGTGTGAGTATCACCAGTGCCAGGTGAGCAGACACGCCCCTCTCCACGCACCCACGCAGGACCTCTGGCTCCTCTTCCTGCTTCCATTCAAACCACACAAACCCCCTTCTGGAAAACTCCATGGCAGAGTGAGTCATCACACAGGCCAGGAAGGGTGCCCACTCTCCGGGCTCCCTTGGTGGGGGCAGCGTCCCTACTCTTCCTTGTGGAAGGAAACTGCCTCTCAGACACCTTTCCCACTGCCGCCCATCCGAGCCAGGCCCCTTCTTGAGGCCTCCTTGTGCCTGGCCCTGGCGCAGGCAGGAAACAAACTGACCCTTGTTGCTGGGGAAACTCAAGAGATCTTATTGCTGTTCAGGCAGGGGGGACACTGGCGCCCTCCCCAGTGAATGAGACTGTTGTGTGCTCCCTCCTGACTCAGAACCCTCTGGTCTGGGTTGGTGGTGGCCAAGGAGGGCAGAACGGAAGGGAGAGGACTCACCGTGATGAGCTGGACACAGTGGTCAGCTGAGGTACTCTGTATGCAGAGGAGGGGGGGCTGGATCCCGGCTTCCTGGAAGGCGTTGCTCATGTTGTTGCATTTCTGCTGCTCTGGATCTGAGGTGGTACACCACCGCACCTCCATCCCGCTGAGCACTGGGGGCAGGGGACAGTGAGGCCAGCTGCCCTGTCCCCCCCATCCCCCACCATAGAGGAAGGGTCCAGCAGTTCCAGCATAGAGGAAGACGACCACCAGTCCTGTGCCAGACTTGCTTTCCATCAGAAGGCACCAGGCAAAAAGAGGTGTCACAGACTAGGAATGGAGAGGGCTTGGGGGGCAAAGCCAGGAAGGCCATGCCCCTCCAGGTGCTCAGGGCAGACCAGTGCCCGGCGACCTTTACCAGGGCAGCAGCTCAGCTGCCCCACCCCTCCTTGCTGGCCTGGAGCACAGCCTGGGTTGTAGAAGAAGCACCAGCTGGGGGTCCTGGCTGCCTTTGTGACTTGACAAGTTCCTGCCCTTCTTCCAGCCTCTGCAACAAGTGGGGTCTCTCACTCAAGGAAGCCCCCAGGTCTTCCTCAGGAACCAGGACAGGAGCCCGGCAAGTGGTTGTAGATGGGCTGCCCCTGGGGAGCTTTGCAGTTCTTGGAACATCTGTGATTATGCCCCAGGCAAACACACCCTCAGTGACCACAGAGCAGGCTCCTGCCTCAGGGAGGCTGATGGGTAGCCAGTTGGGTCCAGTCTCTGCTATTCCAGTTGACTTCAGATAAGTTATTTGCTCTCTCTGAGCTCTTTTTGTCATTTGAGAAAGCACATGTCAACACAGTTATGTATGGTAATTATTATTTTTCTGAAAAGCATTTGTAGCATTTAATAAACTTTTTTCCATGTGACTTCAAGCTACTAAGTCTCCCCCCTCTCTGCGACCCCCCTCCCCCTACCTACCCTTAATCTCAGCGTTCTACTGAAGAATTTGGCCTTCTTTGTGTGGTAATTAAACCTGAGTGGGAAGTCAGGGTACACAGGGCCTCAGGGGACCTCTGCATAGCTCCCTCTTGGTGAGGACCATTTTGGGTCTCCTGAGGGAGCAGGTCAGAGTCCCCAAGGGTTCCCAAGCTGGAGGCCGGACCCATAGAGGGCCAGAATTCCCTTAAGCTGATGCCTCTGAAGGCCTAGGCTCCTCCACCACTGACCCTGCCAGCCAGAGATGCCAGGGAGGCCTGTGCTTTGGGGTAACTTGTGGTTTTGGGTCCAGTTCCCCCTCGTTATCCTCTCCCAACACATGGCCCCCGTTGGGTTACTCTCCCATGGACGTCATCGCTTCCCATCCCCATCCCAAGGGACAAGGCTGCCGGTTTCTAGTTTCCCTTCAGCCACCTCCAGTTAGTTCCCTGAGAACCGCTCCCCGAGATGTTGCCCGCACTCCTCTGGGAACCGGGGGGCGGGACCCGAGATCTGGTGGACCCCTCCTCCGCACCGCCCCCCCAGCCCACCCCGAGTGCAGAGTCTGGGGTGGGGTGGGGTGGTGTCTGTGCCCCTAGTGTCCAGGGCCTGGGGTCCTCTCATGACGGCTCGGGCCGGGCAAGTGGAGTCGCTCTGGCCCCCAAGCCCTGCTGGGTTTCCACGCCTCTCTAGAGCATTCTCGGTCCCGAACCACCCCACAAGCCAAAGTTCTCCCCTCCGCGCCTCTGCCTGCGCGTCTCCTTGGCCTGTGAGAAGCTCCGCTTTCTCAAGGCGGGGCGCGACGCCGCCTCCTCCGGGAAGCCCTCCGGACACCACAGCCGGCGAGGAGAGCTGACTCCTCCACTACATCCGCGCCGGGGCGCCTCTCCTCTCTCTGCTGGAAGGCGCGGGCGCAGGGCACACTTCCCCGCACCCGGGCCGCCCCTGCGGGACCCCCAGCCCGGGCTCCTGCTCCCCTCGGTCGGGCGGCGGGCGGGCCTCACCAGTGCGCAGCGCCAGGAAGAGCCACAGAGTCACGCTGGGGGCCCGCATGGCGGGTCTCGGGCTAGCAGGGCCGGGTCGGGTCTAGGTCTGGGGCGGGTGGGTCAGCAGCAGCCGGTGTCCTCCACGCGCTCCGTCCTCCACGCGCTCGCCCGCAGCTACTTAAGTGCGGCCGGGGCGTGCCGCGGCGGTGTCCACACCCCTAGCGGCAGCCACCCAGGCCACACTGCACACCTGGGGAGTTCAGACTGGCTTTGGCCTTCTTTCTGGCGCCCCCTACTGGATCTTCGGTCGGCTCGGGGGGTGGGGGGGTTGGGGGCGCGAGCTGAAACTGCGCGGGGCTCCCAGGATCCCGGGTGCTTCTAATCTCTGGACCAAACTGTCCTTGAGAGTCAGGTAGCTGCTCTCTGGGATCTGATGCCCTCAGCTCGCAGATGTCCCAGGACTCTCCCTTCAACAGTCGACCCCACATTACAGAGCGTCCTCCCCTCCACTGGTCTTGGAAAGACCCCAGGTATCATGTGTGACTGGAGAGGGAAAGATATGGAAGGGATGGGAACTCCAGAGTGAGCCGGAAGGAAGCTTGAAGGCCTTGAAGGCTCTCTCCCAGGGCAGTGGCGCAAAGGACTTGGGGACCCAGGATGGACCTAGGTAGATGTGGTCCCAGCCGGGAGGGAGTGGTGTTGAGTCGTTGCCCAGTCTGGGCGGCTTCCTCTCCTTGGCTCAGAGGGGAAGTCCAGTGCTGGCTCTAGAGCCCTGGTTCCTGGTTCCTGGCTCATTTCATCATGCTTTGGGAGTGGGAAGAAGATCAAGTGGGGGGAGGTGGAGGATCAGGAAGGGGTGAAAGAGAGAGGAGAGGAGGAGGAAAATGAGGAAAGTTGAAGGAAGTAGGTGGTCTGTTGTCTGTGGTTTGCAAAGTGTGGTTCCCAGTGTAGCAGCAACAGGATCACTTTGGAACTTGTCAGAAGTACAGGTTCTCAGGCTTTTGATTCTGGTGTGTATAGTTTGAGGACCACTGTACCAGCTAGGCTAGAACTATTGTCTCCACGTGTTGGGGACCTAGTGAATGGCCTGCAGAAATTATTCTCAGTCATTCATCTTCACTTCATCTTTTAGCATCACCCCCACAGGAGTACACAGGAATGAGGTCCTGTCTATCTATGCTCCAGTCAAGAACATAGGTTCCCAAGCTTCCTGGCTCCTTCCCTCGCCCCATGAAGCTGTCATCTGTCACCCGCTGAGATGATCCATGGCGGTTACAGAGACTGGCTTTCAGGAGGCCAGAGTTCTGGCCGTCCGTTATCACTGACTCATTGTGTAACCTTGGGCAAGCTCATTCTCCTCTCTGGGCTTCAGTTTCCCAAATGTAAAAGGTAGGCCATGTTGCCGCTGATGTGTTTTCTTCTCCCTCCAATATCTGACCACACTGGAGAATCTGAGGGGGGATGCACGGTGGAAGATGTCCTTTCCTCTTCCTCTCAGTACGATCCATCTGGAGACGAGGACATCTCTTTCCATATTCTCACAGAGATGCCACACTGACTGAAGGTGGCCTTGTTAGAGGGGCTATGGCCTATCCTAAGAGAATGAAATTAATGGAATTGTCCTTAGTACGTCTCTTCCTCCTTATGAGGGTGAAAAAGGTTAATTTTGCCACACTCCAGGTGCAAATAGAAGGTATTAGTAGGATTTGTGTGCATTAACTAAGTTGTTTATCTACCTACTCACCCAGCCACTCACCCCCCCAACTTGCCTACCTGCCTACCTACCTACTAGTTAACGGGGATTTTATTGCTTGAATACATAGATGCATTTATGCCACCAGAGCAGATACTGTGGATGGTTCCTGTTTCCATTGAGGAGGTGGAAGGATTTGTTTGGTCTTATAATAGTGAGACAATCTGTGAATATGACTCTCAGATGACTCTCAGTGAGAATCAGATGGAGTTTAGCATCCTTAATCCTTTCTGATTTTGAACAGAAAGATGCCTTTGAACAGCGAGTGCTTTCTTAATTAAATGGTAGAGATTTTCAAGAAGATCAGAAACAAGCCCTGTGGACTTTAGACTCCTCAAGAGTTTATTGTCTGTCACAAAACATACTTGTGCAATGCCAGGTCTCTCAGGATTACCCTCATTCAGGAAGGGGCAGCCCTTCTCTGACTGCCTGCAGATCTGCTCCTTCCGTTGGCGGTGGTTAGATGCCAATTCAGCCTGGTGAGGGTGCTGTGGCCGTGGCCGTAGGCTCAGGCACTTTCTGGGAGCATGCATCCTACTCAGGGTGGGAAGGACGGGCAGTGAAAAAAGGCCTAAGTTGTTCCTTTAGCAAAATTTCAGTTGGCACCGGTGAGGAGCTAGACAGCTACAGGCTGAGAACTTGGGGAGCTTTTTCACGGTGAGGTCCTTTCCTTCTTGCAGGAGTCATTCCTGATGACTCATCAGTGAGTTTGCTGCTTCCAGGGCTCCAGGGGTTTTTACATCAGGGCCATTTGCCTGACCTGAACAAGGTCATAGCTTTGATTATCTGTATTAGGGAGACTCTTCCTCAACTTGCCATTTCTGGGGTGCAGCCATACCTGGGCATACCGGAAGGGGTGGGATGCAGTAAGGGAGTAATGAGCCAGGGCTAATGCTGTCACCTTAGAGAGAATTAACAGCTCTAAGAGCCTCATTCTGGACTCAAATTGAGATTAGAGGAAAGCACAAAAATAGTAAGAACTGGTTTCACTAACCCTTAAGATGCTGGGGCCCAAGCAATACTGCTTTGGGACCCCAACCCTATAGTGCAGAGTTCTTTTCCATTCGGCTAGACACACAGCTCTTGTGCTCCAAGGGTCCCAGGTGCTGGGCATGGAGCTTGCTTGTTGGGAAGCTGAGGAACAGTGGCAGATGCATGGGGTAGAGCATGCTGAAAACCCGTGGGGACTCAGAAGGAAGGGGGGGCCTTTGACAGGGTCAGAGAACCAAGATTGGTAGATGGGGGTGGGGGGCTAATGGTACTGTGGATGAACAACTCCTTTACCCAAAGGCTTAGGAAAATTTGTATTTTTTTCCATCTGAACAAATCGTAATTCCTATTTTTCTATTTTTCTGGAATACAATGTCTGACTAAAAACAAATCTGAACAAATTTCATTCAGAGGGATACTTGAAAGGGTACACAGAGAAAATTAGGAATGGTGAACATTTGCAGTAAGAAATGTAACACCAAAGGATATTGCACGCCTGTTTTGAGCTCCTTCACCATGTGCTGGCTCACACCTCAATTTGTAGGTGTGCTCCCACCTTGGTAGACACGGTGAGTAAAGTACTCTGTAAAATTATGTTCCCTAGGAAGCTGGCCTTATGGGACATCCTGTTCGCTAGGATTCCATGATTTGTTATGTGCAGAGGCAGGTCTGGTGTTGTTTTTCCTCTGTAGTCGTCACGGAGCCTTTTGAACAAGGAGGGTAATTCCTAACCGTGAACTGTGAACTTGTAGGGCAGTATTAACTAACCTTAAGGTACCTCATGCTGCAGAGGGAGAAGGGGCTGAAAAGAGCCGCAGGACTTCGGGGATAGCAGGAAAAAATACAGGAAAAGGGGGTAGCTAAAGGCATGTGGAATATGATTAGAAGGCAAGCACAGGCAGTAGCCTTGAAAAGAGAAAATGTTTTTTCCTCAAAATAGGAAGGAGAGGGTGGGAGCATCTCCAGCTGGGCAGACCTGCCTTCAGGAGTCTTCAGGCTCCTCAAACCAGAGGTGGTTTACACTTTTAATTGTCAAACCTTGAATGTTTATTTTTCCTCTGAGAAGTTTCCTTGCAGTCTAATCTTTAAAACATAAAAGGGGATTAAAAGGTTCCAAGATTAACTCTGGAAATACAACTTTGAAGCCATTAATAAGTCCATGTTCATCCATTTCACTGAATGTAAGATTTGAGTTGAACCCAGTAGAAAAGGCGGTAAAAAGAAATAAGATCAAGAATTAATGGCTGTGTTACTAAGACTTTCAGAGAAATTATTCATACCCCACTCCAATGCGGAGTTCAGATGACTTCTCATGAAAAAGCAGATACAGGGATAAAGCACAACACATGTTCAGGAAGGGAACCAGAAAGGAAAGGACTATAATTACACCCCCCCCCCCCAAAAAAAAAACTAGCTGATGTAGATTTTGTAGTCAGTCCTTTTTACTCACCTCCTCCCTCTTCCCCCAACGCCATCAAATTGCAAATGAAGTTGCTGAAGTTGCTGTTAACATTTATCCAAGGCTGTGGGCCATTAAAAGCAGTGAAGGCGCTCTGCTGCTCAGAAGCCTGCAGAAATTTAAGTCTCAGGGGTGAAACTGGGAAGGCGTTCTGCAGGAGGAATTTAGGGTGGATTTTGAAGGGAGGTAGGGTTTTGGGGAGGAGATTTGGGTTAGGAAGGATGCAGTTAGCGAGGAGGGACCACATGGCCAAGGGCCAGAAGGTCAGCACTGCAGAGGGTGTGTGTGGGCTGGGCAGGTAGGGCGTGACAGACACAGACTGCGTTCCTGGAACTATACCTTGAAGTTCAGTTAATTAGTTTAGATTTAGGATCCATGAACGTGGCTGAGGAAGAGCATATCCAAGTTACATTTTAAAAGTCATCGGGTCAGCAAGGAAGTTAGGGGCCACTGTAATAACTGGCCGGGGTGGGGGGAGGGTGAGTCAAGGACCTGGATGAGAGTGATGTCAGTGGAAATGAGAACAAGAGAACACAACAGTAAAGGAAGATTCAACAATATCTGGTAGCTGGCTATTTGGGGAAGAGACATGTCAAGAAATACTAAGGTTAAACTTGGGAGATCAAGAGACCATTCTATTAAGTATGACTGTTATTGGCCATTGGGAGGAAACTAGTAAAAAGGTTAGTAATTGTTTTTTCCTAGTAAGGGTAAATGAGGAGTGTCAGATTTGGTTCAAATCTAGTTTAACTTTCAGAGAAAGGCAGCTTTTATCAAGTGGTAGCTTTTCTAGTCTTAGATACCAGCAGGGAAGTAGTTATTTTTGATCAAACGACTCTTACAAGATTTAGAAAACCTTTTTGTAGAGATTCATAGTGTGGAACATATGGGACTTCCATACACTTTGTTTTCTCTTTAGCCCTCCCATCTGTGAGCTAAATGAACCTAATTTTAGACATCTTAAAGAAAGATTTATCATTCTTTTCTTCCATCAGAAAATTTACTGTATCTTGTTTCACAGTTTTGTGCACTGACTTCTTTATCATTAAAAAAATTAATCAACTGTAGTTAAAAGCTGTTCCAGTGAAGCTGGTCATTATTGTTGGTTAGCAGAAATAGGAATGAATATATGCTCAATGAGTAGTTTATTCCTTCTCTGGGTAAACACTAGTGATTCCTAAGGTTTTGGCTAGCACCTATTTAAAGGGATAACACATTTTGGTAAACACAGGAGAAACAAAAGTCACACTGTGATTAAGAATGGAGAAGACAGGGCATTGTGCTACCTGCATATAAAAAGGTCAACTTTAAATAAATCAGGAAAGGGCCAGCCCAAGACTTTTGTTAACCACACATTATTAATATTTAGGATGCACTGAGATTACCACTGGAAAAGAATTGGTAGTTAATTATGAAAAACAAGACAAAACAAAGCACACTCCTTTGCTTTTCTTGAAAGATTAGAGATTTTCCTCCATGGACTGTTTTCTAAATTGTAAGGATATTAGACAATTTCAAGTTTAACAAATGACTTACTTTCGTTTGTTGCTCAAACTGTTCTCTTATTACTGTTCTGAGAAGACAATTTCTCTGATGAGGCCAGCAATGAGAATCAATCATTGGCACCTCCAGCTATAGGATCATCTCAGTGTTATTCCTGAGAACTTGAAATTCCAAAAATATTCAAAAATTACTTCTTAGAGTCACTTTCTTTAGGCAGATATATTTGGTAAACCGGCACTTTGGCTGTCTTACTTCACATTTAAAGTTTAGGGGCATAGGATCTTTTGCAATTGCAAAAATCTGTTGAGTGCTCATTGTGGAGATGGAGGTGAGGTGGAGTAGGATCTAATGCATGGCTGCCAGCATTAGAAACCTGTTTCTTGATTTTCTCTTTTTTCAAAATTTATTTTTATTTATGCATGCAAGAGCTGGGGTGTAGGCCAGAGGTGTAGGGAGGTGAGAGTATTCATCAGAATGAATTCATCAGGTTCAGGGGCCGAGAGGATTCCCCACTCATCAGAGTGAGGAGCGGAACAGGCGATCTACTGAAATACACCGCTGAGGGGAGCAGGGGTGAGACAGGAGAGGTCTGCTGCATGCTGTGTGGGTCAGCTCCCTGGCTGGGTTCGAATTCATGCTGCAGTGGCTGTGGATAGTGATGAGACTTAACTCCTTACACCAGGAAGGCTGGGTTCTCCCAGATGGAGAGTAGCAAAGCAGCACAGAAACTTAATGGGCAGAACTATACAATTTTGTCCTTCAAACAGTGACTGATAAATGAATGGTAGTACATTCATAAAATGGAATAGTGCTCAGCAATGAAAAGTAGCAGACTACTGATACATGCGGCAACATGAATAGTTCTTCAATGCATTTTACTAAGTGAACAAATACATCCCAAATTCTAGTAGATTCTATTTACGTCTGGAAAAGGCAAAACTGTAGGCGTGAATAGGTCAGTGATGGTCAGAAGTTGGGAGTGATAGGGGGACTGACTGTATAGGGTAAGCATGAAAATTTTGGGATGGAGCGTTTTGAATTCTAGATTGTGGGGGTGGTTACATAACTGTGCATGTATCAAAATGCAGTTATACACCAGAGTGAATTTTACTGTACATAAATAAGTTAGTATATGGTTTCCCTTGGGGTAGGATTAGAAGCTAGGAGGGAGCTGAGGAGGCCACTTGGGGTGCTGGTCATGTTTTTCAGTTTCATGCTGATTGTTACAATGGTGATGTTGGCTTGTAAAAATTCATGGAGGTATATGTATGCTTATATTAATATATTTTATAAATGTACTGAAAACAAACAGTGAAAGAGGATGCTACCACTCTCCAGTCTCCTAATGCTCCTCTCAGTAATAGAAATCACTAGAAGAAAATTCAGCGTGAAACTCCCTGATCTGATTTGGTACTTGTTCCTAAAAATCTCAAACAATACCACTAATTCTGAGCACAATGCTGTTTAGCAGACTAGAATTGTTTTGCTAGCTCTCAGGTAGCCATATTTGATGTGCAACAGAGAAAGAGTTGGTAATGGGAGGCAATGACTATTCTATTTTTAGTCAAATTGAATGAAAGCAAATGCATTTTATCTGGAAGATGTAATTTTCCCCCAGTGTTTCTAGAGTCTCAATATTTAACATTCTTGAGAATTGCTAGGGCCTTGTGGGTCTAACACTGCAGAGATGTGAGAATGAATGGCTTATGAAATCTTTGTTTTCAGCTCTATGCTTAAGGTTGGCCTGGGGTAGGTCCCAGCATATGTCAGAGTAGTGATCCTCAGAAGAGATAAGGAAAATGATTATAGGGAATGAAATGTAAGTAAATTAACTGAGTCAAAGAAAATTCTTCCATAGGTGATAAAGAATGGTGGACCATATTCTTCTCAGTCTTCTGCTACCAATATATCTACCCTTGAGAGAAGGGAAAAAACAAGTACTGAGTCAAGTATCAGATGCAGTGATGTGTTTTAGACACAACTTTATTGACCCTTTTCTTGCAAGTGGTTATTCAAACCCCATTTAAAATAAGGTACAGGTTAATCGTATACAAAGGGGAGTTGGAACAAATTTCAAGCTTCGGATTTAAAAAGGGAATTTTTAGCAGGCAGTATGTGTTAGCTCCCTTTGTAATCTTAAAATATCTTAATTTTACAGACAAATAAACAGAAGGATGGCATGACTTGCCCAAGGTTAGCTACACAACCAGTAAGTGGCACAGCTGGCATTCAAACCAAACTTTGATTCCATAGCTAACATTCTTCACATTATAGTGCTCTACTACCAAAGCCAAGGACAACGTGACTTCTGGGGAAGGATAAATGGAATCTTCAACATTGGACTGAAAAACCAAATAATCTAAACTTAGGTCAGAAAAATGGTATTTATGTTTTTTGCTGATATCTTTCAAACTCAAATACATCAATGAAATTTCTAAAGCATAATTATTTTTCTTTAATAAGTAATTTAAACCTCCAGTGACTGAAAAATCCCCTAACTTCTGCTCACAGCATGGGAGGAAAAGGAACTGATTTGGTGGAAAAACCACTGTTCCAGGAGCCTGGAGTTAACAGGTCTAATCCTGGCTCTTTCCCTGACTTCAAGAGTTAATTGCTTAAAATACAGGGATCTCTCCAATTTCATTTTCACATATAAATAAAGAGTGTTCAAAGTGAGAATTTTGGAAGGCAATTGCTCACTCTAATACTGCAAAAGACACAATTTCCTCATTATTAAAACCTCCAAATTGCCATTTCTGACACTTACATACTCTAGTGGTTTAGCAAGTATCTGTAAAGCAGTATGCATTCTGCTGGAGTGAATGTGGCATGCTTGCTTCTATCAGCTTTTGCAGAGCCCTGAGCAGGTGATGTGGTCACATTTGAAGCATTTTAATTTTTGTCAACATATAGATATTTTAAAAAAAGGATTATTTTGGGCCCTTCCTGGTGGTGCAATAGGTTAAAGTGCAACACTGTGAAGCTCTCAACAGCCGCTTCAGCACAAGTTCGATTCCTGGCCTGGGAGCTGACCCACATGGCACAGCAGACCTCTCCTGTTTCCCTGCTGTTCCACTCAACAGTGTATCTCAGTTAATCTGCCTGTTCTATTCCACACTCTCTGGTAAATCCTCTCACTAACACCCCCTCCCCCCGGGTCTGTACCTGTTCTGTATGAATAAATAAACCTTAAATAAAAAAAAAAAGGACTACTTCATAAAACATTCAAGATAGTGTTGGTCCCTGGTTATTGGGCTTTTTCCTAAAGAGTACTACCATTTTTGGTTCTAAAGAGGTTCTTGGTTCTTTCCTAGTACGTCACTGTGACAGAGCTAGGCTGACTTGTTGCCCAAAAGTCATTTCAACTGTGGTGAGGATAACTTGTTCTGAGTACGCCCTTATTAGCTGTGTGAGTCTGGGTAAGGAACTTCTTCCAAGTCTGTATCTGTAAAGGGATATTAACAACAAAATTGAAGCCATAAGCCTTACATAGTAGAGGCTGAAAAATGAGGCAGCATGGTATATTAGAAAGAACTTGGGGGCAGAGATCTGGACACAAATACCAAGCAAGCACTGTCACATACTAGGTTATGTCATTTTAGGCAAGTGGTTTGAGGTAAGCCATACAGTGGGGCTACTAACTCTTTTTAAAAAATTAAATGGTGTGGGCCCTCCCTGGTGGCGCAGCGGGTTAAAGCACAGCACTGAGAAGCTAGAGCCACTTCCGCATGAGTTCGATCCCCGCCTGCCCCGGAGGTGAACACATGGCGTGGCAGACCTCTCCTGACCTGCCCGCTGCTCCCCTCAGCAGTGTAGTTCGTCGATCTGCCTGTTCTGCTCCCCACTCTGTCTCTGGTGAATCTTCTCACCGCCCCTGTACCTCTGGCCTGTATCTCAGTTCTGTATGAATAAATAAATCTAAAAAAAAAAAGTTAAATGATATACTGAAGTGGCCACTGCACCACACTAGTACTTTTAATTTGTACAATCAAAGAGCTATCCCAAAATTTCCTTATAAGAAAACCATTTACCAAAACCATCTAGAAAGTAATGTAATACCTATTTTAACACATAAATGGCATTATTTTATAAACTTATGGTATCTGATGTGGCCAGTAAAACCTCAAAATAGCTTATGTTGGGTTTTCTAAGGTGATTTCCAGGGTTCTTGAGTTTATTTTATAACAATTTTCCTCAAGTACGTTGTTTAGTAATAACCCACCATACTGAGTGTAACAATCATTGCATATATTTCAATGTGTTAACCTGAAGAAAATTTGATTAGGTTGTCTAATGGCTTGTGAATTCAGCTTATAGATTATGTGATACCCCAAACTGTTGCAAGAAAACATAAGCTTGTAAACCAACTTTTCTTTTAGAATTCAAGACACATCTGATACATAGATTTTACAATAAAGTTTATTAGCTGTTCTCCTCTTTCTCATAAATGGAATGGATAATATTGATAATTCTTACAAACCAGTACTTGTTTAAGAAATTGTAACGTGGAGGTCATCAATAACACATATTTAATAAACAACTCCAAAAAAGCAATGGGAAGCCAAACGATGATATAAAAAATCAAAGAATTGATTTCTGAAATCATATCTACCTTTCACTAAAATTTCTTAAAATTGCTCTTCATGAAGATCTGTGCAACTCTAGTGCAGAGCAGCGACAAGAGATGAAAGGTGCAGTGAGAGGAAAACACTCACACACGGGACTTTTGTCTGTTTCCTATTAATGAAAGGAGGAGAACCTGAGGACCAAATCTAAATCCACTGACAAGAAACAATAGTAACAAAAAAACAAAAACAAAAAACAAATTAGTAACCATTTGGAAACTTTTGTAGAAAAGAGGAGAACATGCCCATACTTTTACTTGTAATCTAATTTCCTAGAGATTTCTTTCCATAACCACCATACCCCTGTTTTCAATTCACATGATTAAGGAAGATAAAGTCTAATCAATTATTATTTAAATTAAAAACCAAACAAAAAGTTAAGAGTAGGTGGTAAAAGAAAAAAATATATTTTAAATATATATATATATATGTTTGTGTGTGTGTGCAACTATGTAAAGAAAATAATTCCCATAGTTACAGAGTTTAGTTAAAGAAAGTTTTATATATATTTATATATATTTTATTATAACAAAATAGGCAGTTATTGTGGGTAAAATATTCATTAAAATCTGACCCCTAAGAATACATTTAAAATTTTAGACTATGAATTGGACTCCTTTTCCATTGCTTTAATGCTTACTACATCACCATGTAATGTCTGCTGTGTCTGTATTTATGTTGATCACATTTTCTTGACCTTATATAAAAGGTGAGTGTCCCTAGCACCTAAACACGGCCTCAATTCAGAAGATGTGATGATCACTATGTATGAATGATTTTTGTAAGACACTATAAATAGTGTTGCACACGTAGATTAAAAACATTTAAACATTATTATTCTAGCAAATTTACTGGAAAAAAAAAACTTCAAACAATAAGACTTCAAGAGTTCATATGAAAAATGAATATCCCTTGTGAAATTATGAAAGTTAAACCAGACATTAATTTTGAAATTAAAAAACATGTATTTTCCTTATTTGTCTAATATGAAATATTTGCTTTGATAACAGAGGTCAATTGAGAAAAGGACTTGAAAGCTAATATATTGGCCAAACCATGCTATTAAAGTTAAGCATGCAATGATGCTCAAATTTACTAAATCACTGATTAAAACCACTTTTCTTTCATTTATATTGAAATTTGAAAAGAATGTATATAAAGCTTTTCTGAAAATCTCTTAAAGTTACTTTCCCTTAAACATTAAGGAATTTTACCACAATTTCCCCGTTTCCCCAAATTCTTAATAGCTGGTCAGGCCATTCCATCTTCAGTTCTGCAAAATGGCCATAAACCAATAGTGACATAAAATAATATAGATGTTACAACTTGAAGGAGACACTAGATTGAAAAATAAGTGAAACTACAGACCATGATGAAAAGGATATCAATCAACATGAAGGAGTGTTGAAGACAGAATCCAGAAAGGAAAAGGGCAAAATGTCAAAATAAAAAAGATGTGGAAAAGAGAAACAGAGAAATATTAGTCCTCATAACTTTTCTTTTGCTGGAACCCAGATGTAAGGACCAGACTGTTCTTCTATGATCTGCTTCACTTGGTTGTAAATATCTTCCAGCGTATCTCCCTGTACAATAGCTGTAAGGATAAGAAACAATGTCAGAACCTCCATTAATTGTTTATTATCACTATTACAATTACTGGTAAAATAGAAGAAACTAAATTTTACTTGCTCACTCATTGAGAGAAACACTACTTTTGCATTATTTGTTTAGTAAAAACTGCTCATTTCATTAATTTTCCTATTTGTATAATACACAAATTTTAATATAAATAATAGATAAATGAGTTAGTGAAACATTGCTTATTTTTGGTTCTTTCATCATCTCAAAATAATTTGGCTTTATTCTTTAATAAATTCAGACATTTCCTTAACTTTCCTGATCTTCATATATGTATACAAAACAAACAAACAAAAATCAAAAAGAATGAAGTACCACAGGAGCTAGCATGGTTACTTTTTAATTTTAAAGGGTAGTACTTTAGGGAAACACATGATTACAGACTTAAAGATTTCTTCACTATGCTAATATTGGTCAGGTACTGTAGCATAGGTGAACTGAGATACAAAAGCTGACTTTTTAGTGGCTAGAAACTATTAAAATTAAAATATTTTAGGCAGTATTTTTTTTTTGCTATATGAAATAATATCTGAATAAAAAAGTGGTAACAATTACTAATAGTTAAGTCTTTGGAAGTAGCTGGAGGAATCTCAGTGGTCTGTAAGGAGGTGAGGTAAAAAAAACAAAAAATTCAAAAAAGTCCCTTGAAGTATCAACAGATACTACTAAACATGAATAACTTTTTAATAAAACCAGAGAATGCTTATATATATATTATATAAATCATTATATATAATATTTATATATATTTATATAAATATTATATATAAATATTATATGTCATTATATATATATTTGGGGAAACGGGGAAATATATATATAATGACTTAAATAAGTCATTAATTTTTAAACTAAAAGAAAAAAAATAGTGATTTTAGAGAAGCAAACACAGATGTAAATTTTTCTACTCTCAAAACCTATTGTAAAATATAAAATAGAGATTTCAAATAAAACTATTTGGAGGCTGAGATTACTCATGCCTAATTAGGAGGGTGTATGTGTATAGGGAGATCTTAAAACAATATGGCTAAAAATTCCTAACTAACCAAAAAGTTGTAAATAACATAATATTCAGTAGTATTAACTTTGTGAGCATTCTTATTTTATGCTAACACAGACATTCTTTAATGTCCCTGAAGATATATGTCATATGACACAATATTTCGTTCACCAGTGTACTCCAGCAGCATAGGACAGATTCGAAAGTAGCTAATAGTTGGGGTCAACAACTACATACATTCATTGTCTTATTTTGGGAGAAAAGAATTATTCAAGAATTAGTTTGGGAAGTATACTTTGCTTACTTTATACATTCAATAATAAAATGACTGGTAAGTAACATTCTTCTCAGGAGGGAATTAGAGATACACAAGACTGTGCAGACAGTTTAACTAAGTGATCAAAACTTGTATCACCAATAATGGTATAATTTAATGTCACAAACTTCCTTCTATGATGCATGGGGAAAGACACCATCACCATTTCTTTGATATTCCTGCCCAAAATGCATAACCTATATCTGGTCACAGGAAAACAGCAGATAAATCCAAATTGAGGGAAAGATAGTCCAAAAAATAATTGGACTTTACTCATAAAAATGTTAAAATCATGAATGAGAAAAGACTATCCAGATGAAAAATAATGAGAAAAGACTATCCAGATGAAAGCAGAATTCAGAGATGATAACTTCATGCAACATGTGATACTAGAGTTGATCTTGAAACTGGAGAAAGCATTTTTTTCCTTTTTGTTTTAAAGACATTATTGTAACAACTGACAAAATAGGAGTAACACCTGTAGTTAGATGATTTTGGTAACAGCACTATAATTATAAAAGAAAATGTCTTTTTCAAAAAAAGATTTATTTATTTATGCATACAGAACTGGGCTATATAAGTCAGAGGTGCAGGGGTAATGATAAAATTTACCAGCATCAGAATGGGGAGCAGAACAGGCAGAATGACTAAGTACACTGCAAAGGGGAGCAGCGGGCTGGACAGGAGAGGTCTGTCTTGCCATTTGGATCACCTCCTGGGTGGCGGAAAACTAGCACTGAAGTGGCTGTGTTCAAGCCTGCAGGGATATGTCTTAACCTGTTGTGCCACCAGGGAGGGCCCAAGAAAATGTCTTTTTAAAAAATTTCTTGAGAAATACATGTTTTAGTATATTTAGTGACTAAAGGGTTTTTGCCTACAACTTACTGTTAAATATTTCAGAAAGAAATATAAATTTGACAATTATGTGATAAAATTTTCAATGTAATAAAATGTCAATATTTGTAGAAAATAGGTAAAAAGAAAAAAATAGGTAAAAAGTAGTAAGAACTGTTAGACCTATTCTTGTGACTTAAGTCTTAAATAGGTTACAGAAGCACATGATTATAGTAGTTAGTACTCAGTGATGCTCAGTGTGCACACCAAATACTGGCTGATCATTGCAAATGAACAAGAAAACCCTCCAAATGTATGCACAGAATAATTTACATCACAAAATGAACAAGGGACTATTATTTAGAACTGCTTCCACTCTTTTTAGACAAGTAATCTCTTAAAATGGGTCAAAATTTATAAGGATAAAGAACAATGCAAACAAACAAGAAAAACAATTATAAATGTTAAGAGAAGTCAGTTTCACAGAAAAAAACAAGCCTTAGAATCTGTTTTTCTCTGATCAAGTGTGAATTATTCCTGTACATGTTGTTTTAATCAACAACATAAGAAACTCTGAATTTTAAGAATGTCACTAAAAACTAGAGTTAGTCACTAAAAATGTAACTTTATTCTTGGAATGACACAAGGATTCTGATACACTTTTGTACTGGCTCAAGGCAGCCAAATTGAATTAACAGTTTTAACGTAGATGAAAAATTTATATTAAAACATGATTTACAAATCTACCAATCAATTTAGGTAGATGGATACTTTTGAAAATGATATTACAATTAATAATTACTTCTGGTGGATGTGGTCATAGTTCAAAACCCATTTTAACAGTCAGTTCAGTGGGCTCCACAGCACAATTCTATCAAAAGCACACTCCCACACATGATGCCAACCTGTGAAATGTTCTGTAAACTCTTGTTCCAGTTTCATGGCTCTTTCAAACGTCTTTCTGGCTTGTTCTTCTGTTACACGCTTATTCATTTCTCTATGCAAACAAATTTATAAATTGACAATTACTTATTAGAATACTTTTTGATCTGACAAATGAGAAGACATAAAACATAAAATCATGAAAAGCTGAACTCTGGTGAGAATGTCATTGAAAACTAGATTTAGTCACTAAAAATGTAACTTTATTCTTGGAATGACACAGGATTTTGATACTGGCTCAAGAAGTCAAATATAGAATTAACTTGACAGTTCTGACTTAGATTGAACATTTATAACATGATTTACAAATCTACCAATCAATTTATAGATAATAAAGGAGACAAATGGACATCTTGAACACTACCATCAGAAGGTAATCAGACAAATATAGTTAGGGGAAAATGTGGCAGAATAAATGATTTGGTTTCTTGAATAGAAAAAAAAAAACAACTGACTATATATGTGAGGATTTGTTTTTAGACTCTCTTTTCTATTCCATTGGTCTGTATGTCTGTCTTTAGGCCAACACCACAACATTTGGATTACTGTAGCTTTGTAGTAAATTTTGATATGAAGTGTGGGTCCTCTAGTTTTAAACAATTTTTAAAAGTTGTTTCAGGTATTTATAAGTCCCTGAAGATTTCAAATGAATTTTATTTTATTAAAATATTTATTTATGCACGCAAGATCTGGGGTATAGGCCAGATATGTTGGGGTGGGTGGGTAGTGAAAGGAGTCACCAGAGGCGGAGTGGGGAGCAGAACAGGCAGGTTGACCTAAGTATACTGCCGAGGTGGGCGATGGGCAAGATAGGAGATGTCTGCTGTGCCATGTGGGTTAGCTCCCTTTTTGGGATCAAACTCATGACTCAGTGGTTGTGGATAACTTTATAATGCTGCGCTTTAACCCCTTGTGCCACCAGGGAGGCCCACCATATGAATTTTGGTATGGATTCTTCTGTTTCTGTAATATTGAGAATTTGATAGGGATTGCACTGAATCTGTAGATAGCTTTGGATAGTACTGAGACTTCCATGAACATGGAATATTTCCCATTTTGTTTTCTTTAAGCAATATGCTATAGTTTTCACTGTTTAAACCTTTACTTCCTTTTTATTCCTAACTATTTTAGTTTTTTGATGCTACTGTAAATGGAATTTTTGGTAATTACCTCTCAATTTTTCATTGCTTGTATACAGAAGTATATACTTGTGTTGACTTTGTATGCTGCTACTTTTATTTATTAGTTCTAACAGCTTGTATGTCGAGCCCAATCTTTTTTTTTTTAAAGATTGATTTATTTATTCATACAGAACTGGAGTACAGGTCAGAGATGTGGAGGGTGAGAGGCTTCACCAGAGACAGAGTGGGGAGCAGAACAGGAAGATGAAGTACACTGCTGAGGGGAGCAGCAGGCGGGTTAGGAGAGTCTGCCGCACCATGTGGATCTCCTCTGGGCAGGTGGGCATTGAATTCATGCAGAAGTGGCTTAAGCTTCTTAGTGCTATGCTTTAACCCGCTGCACCACCAGGGAGGGCCGCCCTTAGGCTTTTTACACATAAGATCACATCATCTACAAAAAGGCAACTTTACTTCTTTTCAAAGTGGGTCATTTTATTTCTTTTCCCTGCTTAATTCCTCTAGTTAGACTTTCCAGTACTATGTTGAACAGAAGTAGTGAAAGCAAGTATTCTTGACTTGTTTCTAATTTTAGACAAAAAGCTTTCATTTCATCATCAAGTATGACAATGAGCAATTTCCTTCTATTCCTACCTTACTGGTTTTTTTTTAAATTTTTTACTCAATAAAGGGTGTATATTGTCATGTACTTTTTCTGCATCAACTGAGATGATGATGTGGTCTTTCCTCTTCATCTTGTTGATGTAATGTATTATGCTTAATGATTTTCAATGTCAGCCCACGTTTGCATGGGCTGGAATAGACCCCACTTGGTCATGGTATAGAATTCTGTTACTAAGCTCCTGAATTCTGTTTGCTAAGATTTTATTGATGATAGTTACAACAGTTGGAATCTTATCATGTGATAACATGAGACAAAATTCTAACATTTTCTAGTTTGTGCCTTTTTGAAAAACTGTTCTATGATGCCTCCAGGTCAGGGATTAACCTGAGCTACAGACTCAAGGTCTTCTCAGCCTGTACCTTTCTCTATCATAGTATAGTCAGCTTTCTAAATTCTTCATATGTAAATATTTTGTCTGGTTCCCATATGGGGAAAAAGAGAAAGTAAAGGAAGACCAAAAAAAAGCTACCATCAGCCTTTTAACTCTCCAGAAGACACTTCAGCTTGAGGGGGAGGGGACTACAACAATGGCAATGGGGTATGCTCTGCTTCCGTGTCTGTATCCCCATAATCTGAAGCAGCACCCTGCACAGATCCCTGATATTTGAGAAGAGGGTCTTTGTTGCCTATTTATGTAAGTTTTATGCAAATTGCTCAAGGGATGTATACATGGTAGTCTGCTATGGGGGTAAAGATGAGTGATTGATAACTGCTATTATCACACTAAGAGTTGAATGTAACTACAATTTACTATTAAACTTTCCTTTAAAAGTTACAAGTTGAGAACAGATTTTTGGTTCCAAAATATTTAAATCAGACAGATTCTGAAATCCTGAAAGTTGTCTTGGTGAGAAGATGGATTCCTGGTGTCACCTACTCCATCTTTTCTCTAGCTTCACCATTGATGCATTTAAAAATGTTAAACTAACACTGCATTCTTTGAATATACCCAACTTGACTGTTTTATTTTAAAACTTAATTGTTGGCTTAAATTTGTGCTTTTTACTAAGGGTTTTTTATTTTTTTCATCTGTATTCATGTTAGAAGTGGCCTGTCATTTTCATTTTCTGTGGTGCCTTCATATTCAGGGTTAATACAAATGTCAGGTTTTGGTATTAAATTAATGACTATAAATTAGTGGAAGAATTTGTATCACATGGTGTTATTTCTTTTGGTAGGATTCATCAAATATTCTTGGTCTAGTTTGTGGTGGGGCTTTTAATGATATAGTCAAGTTTTCAATAGGTACAGGACTAGACTGTCTATAGATTTTTCCCTTTTGCTATTTCTTTTTGAAATAATTTCTGAAGTTTTTTGTTTTAAATATAACTTTCATGAGTAATACTGTAAATGCACAGCTTGATGAATTTGCACCAATACCTTTGTATTAAGGTACCTAGAACAAGATACAGAACATTACACTAACAACTATCTGTGCTTATTCTAGTCACAAATTTACATCAAAGCGTTACCTCTATTTGACTGCTGTAAGAATGATACTTGGAATAATAGCATATGTATAATGGAATCATAAGAGTGTATATATGTATATTTTCCAATCTGAATTTCTTTCTACTCAAATTATGTTCACAAAATTCATCCATTATTTTTGTGTAAAGTTGGAGATTGATCTTTTTCATTACTATAGAGTATGTCATACATGTGAATATGCCATAATTTACTTATGCGATTCCACTCACCATTATAGATGCTGTTGGTGAGCATCTGGATAATTTCAAGTTTTTGGCTACACTGAATAGTACTCCTGTCAGCAATCTTGTACAATCTTTTTAAATACATGTAAATATTTTTATTGAGTACATATTTCGAAGTAAGACTTCTCGCTTCTAAGTTACATGTATGTTCAGCTTTAAGAGATAACTGTAAATAGTTTACCAATGTAGATCTACTAATATACACTGCTGTTAGTGTTATGAGTCTCAACTTTTCTATATCTTTGCTAATGTTTGATATTTCCTGTCTTTTTTCATTTTTAGCTATTTTGGGGTGTGGGAGGTGGTATTGTGTTAACTTAATCAATTTTTGTGATTAACTGATCACCAGCTGATATGTATTTTGGTATTTTCTTTTGTGAAATGAACTGGTCTTTTCTTCATTTTTCTACTAGAAACTTTTGGAATGTATACTGAATGTTAAGTGATATCCTCATTGTCATTCTTGAAATTGTTTATGTCTTCTTTATTTTAAAAATTTCTTATTAATGGTTTACAGTATCTTCAAAGAAAGCATTTTGGTTTTCTGAACCTTTATTCTACCTTTGCATTGAATTGACTGGTGTCTAATTTCAATAATATATGAATTTCAACATTTCCTAATATTTGATTTTCAATATATTTTTAAAATATTTAGATAGTATATTTTCAATCAACAAGGATACTGAATCTTCCAAATATTATTTACTTGGTAATTTCATTTCTCTTTAGTTTCTGACCAATGTGTTAATTTCTCCCACTGATTGTGGAAATGTGTTGTTTTCAATTTGTGCTTGAGATTGTACTATATATGTATATAAATATCTTTCTAACAGAGTGAACCATTCATTTTTATGAAATATTCTTCTGTCATTAGTAATATTTTCTTGCCTTAAAGTATACTTTGTTAATAATATATCCAGCTACTTCTGATTGTTTGCAGGGTTTATGCTTTTTATTCTCTTATTTTCAGTTTTTCCACAGGTTAATATTTAAGACCTGTGTTACGAAATCAACATATAGTTGGTAGGTCTTACACTATCCCATAATATAGCACCTTGACATAGCAAATATTTTAAGCTGAAGGAATTGAAATAGTTGAAAAAAGGTAGGCAAGGAAGAAATCTCTAATATTCCTCTGAAGTAGGTCATAAGGCCACATGTGAGAGAGGTGGCTTCCTTATACCTGGAAGAAAGGAACATCCTATTCTATAAGGATGGAGGGATACTGAAAAGCATTTGAGTGAATAGGCCTTGCTAAGTTTGTCCTACTTCAGTAAATGCTTTGCTCATATTATCTACTCTCCATAAAACCTAGTACTAAAATGCTCAGGTGACGGTTTTTTTGTGTCTTCATTTCCTTATGAGAATTCTCATGTTACATAAAACTTAAATACATCTATATGTATTGTTAATTTGCCTTTTGGTACTTAGGCCCAGTTGAGAAGCAAGAAAAATTGGAAGATTTTTTTTCCTTTTCAAAAGCAACATATGGTAGTTTATTTTTTTTCCTTCACCTATTTTTGTAATTTTTTTTAAATGAACCACTTAAATCAAGCATTTAATTACTGAAATATCTGTGCTTATGTCTTCTTTTTGTCTCTGTCCTTTTGCCCCATCCATTTTATGTTTTTATTTGCTCTATCTTCTAATTTCTATTTAAATTCAACTCTTCCCTCTCTCTTAGCTAAGTAGCTATACATTACTTTAGTCTCTTAATAATTAACTTGGAGCTATACTCTCCATTTTAGTAGGTACTAGCTACTGTAACTTTTAACTTAAAATTCTAAAACATGTTACCTTAAACCTTACTTATATTAAATACTGATGAAACTTAGTATCACATGGTATTTATTAAATTTTCACAGTAACCCTACAAACTGAATATATTATCATCATCTTCATTCATAGATAAAGGAACTGAGATGCAGGGAAGGCAAGTTAATTACTCAATCTAATAAGTGACAAAAACCTGACTTGTACTTACAGATATGCCTAAGGCATCTATACTTACATGATATTTTCCATGGTTTTGGGTTTAATAAAAATGGAGATTGGGTAAAGTTGTGCAATCTGTAATCTCTTTATGGCATTTCCAGACACATCAAGGATACAGTGTTTGCCCTAAAATACAGGGAAGATGAAAAACAAGACAACTGAGTATTTTTAATTATATTAAAGGTTCATTCCCTAAAGTTATACAAAGTATGGATTATGACATATTTGGGTCCTGTTCATTTTAAGCACACTAGTCATTTTTGTCAGCAAATTACAGAGGGGAAATGAAGAAAATAATGATTAAGAATATTAATTTCCACTCTCAAACATTTTATATATATATACACACACACACACACATATCTATAAAAAAATACATTTCCCTTACTTCTTATTTTCACAGACCAGTAATCCCTCAAAATAGCAACCAGTCCAGGATTCCTAGTTTTTATTTTTTCAAGAAGGGCATAAAAAACCCCTTAAGCCACCATCTTACTGTAACCATCTTTTAATACAAGAATATGTAATCAGTAATAATAATAAAAAAAAAAGTATTTTATTTATGCATACAGAGCTGGGGTACAGGCCAGAGGTACAGGGGCAGTGAGAGGCTTCACCAGAGACAGAGTGAGGAGCAGAACAGGCAGATCAACAGCGGGAGCAGCGGGCTGGTCAGGAAAGGTCTGCTGCACCATGGAGATCACCTCCGGGGCAGGAATCGAATGCATGGTGAAGTGGCTTTAGCTTCTCAGTGTTTTAACCCGCTGTGTCATCAGGGAGGGCCCAACAAGAATAATTTTTAAAGTGGAATAAATTTAGATGAACAAAACCCATTACTATATTTTATTTTTATTTTATTGGGGACTGGCAAAAACTTTATCATAAATAGCATTTGGGAATCTCAATTCTGGATTTAAAAGATAGGTTTCTAAACATGTAAATTCACTGACAAGGGTTACTTAGGTTTTAACATTGACAAACACTTAACATAGGGTAGTGCTTTGAACTTATCAGATTTTAAATCAGATCTCCTCCATAATACATGATGTAGTCTAAGGGTTTGAGTCCGCTTTAGTGAATGACTTCAATTTGGAAATATTAGAAAAATTTAATAGTGTCTAAAGACTTCAAACATACAGGAAAAAAAGGGGCTTGCTGGGAAGATGTCAGAAGTTCCCTGATTTGCTCTGGGGATAATAAGCTGAGAAGTCTAGTTAGGAACTGAATTCAGCGGACTCCACAATGTGGAGATCAGAGTACACACAATCACAGGGGGCCAATGTTGACCAAATACAACAGAAGAGATACACAGATCCAGCTGAGGGAATCAAAAGGGTATATATGGGTAAGGGTGGCACCTGAGGCAAAGCTGGTTCATACATACTCTCTGAGACAGCAAAGCTGATTGCAATAGATCTAGTGGAGAGAAATATGGGCAAGAGTGCTGTGATGAATCAGGCAAGAAAAACAAGAGTCAGAAAGCTATAACACCTACCAAATATTTCCCTGGTTGTGGTGGATATGGAATGGAGCAGACAGAGTGAAGCTGCACTGGAATGCTCTGGGACTGTATTAAGAGCTGATCTTGCAAAGATATGCGCCTGAGGCACAGAGAGGGCTGGCAGCACTGACTGAGCCCCATGCACAGCACTCTCATGAGCAATGGGCCCCTCCAGGATTGTCTCCCACTCACTGAGGCCCCAGTTACAGATTAGTTCTCCCTGACATACAGCACCACCTACTGGAAGAGGGGAATCCCTGCACCCTTAAAATTTAGGAGTAAATAGTGAGGGATGAAAAAATAATCATGGCAACACAGTCTTCAGAAGAGTATTATACCATACAGAGGACATCACCACAAAACCACACCAAAAAGGCATGGAAGAGATATTCTTCCTACTAGACAGAAAATTTAAAATTACCATGATACTGAAATTCAAAGAAATGGAAAAACACGTACAAGTTGATCAAAGATATGCAAGAAAAATTTGAAAACAAGTATCTTGAAAAATGAAATTAATGTAAAGATTAAGACTAAAACTCTAAATAAGAAGATACTGGAGATGCAGAATATAAAAAGATAAACAAATGACATAAAATTTCTGGAGAAAGTTACAGAAGTAGATTAAATTGAAAACCGAATCAGTGAGCTTGAAGATTATAATGCACAAATAAATCAGATGGAAGAAGAGATGCAAAGGAGAAAAATGGGAGAAACACTTCTGAGACTTGTAAAATTTCATGAGGAAAGGCAATGTAAGAATAATGAGTATCCTAAAAGGGGGAGAAAGAAAAGGGAACAAAGAACATATTTAAAGAAATAGAGGAAAACTCCCCAAATATGGAGAGGGAATTACATACATGAAACCAAAGGAACAAACAGGAAACCAAAGGAACAAAATATATAAGGCAATTACATAAACAGAATGAGACCTACACCAGGATAACCTACACCAAGACATGTAGTAGTGAAACTTCTAAGAATTCAAGGCAAAGAAAGACTGTTGAAGCAGGCTATAGGGAAGAAGCAGATAACCTATAAAAGAAACCCAATAAAGCTTATATCTAAGGAAACACTAGGGACAAGGAGAGAATGGAATGATGTTGTTAAAATATTTAAAGATAAAAACTGCTAGCCAAATAATAATCTATCTTGCTAGACTATCCTTAGATATAGGCCTTTTCAGAGAAACATAAGGTAAAGGAGTTTGCAAACACTAGATCTCCCTACCCACTCCAAGAAATGTCTAAATCAAAACCAATCTCATATCTAAATCAAAGAGAACATTCACAAAAAATTGAAGGGGGAAACAGAACCACAAGATTAAGACAAATGATAGTAGTGGATCTTCATACATTAATAATCACTCATCAATTAAGAGACAGGGTCTGGTTGGATTAAAAACAAAATACAATTTGGGCCCTCCCTGGTGGTATAGCGGGTTAAAGCACAGCACTAAGAAGCTAAAGTCACTTCTGCATGAGTTTGATCCCCACCTACCCAGGAGGTGACCACATGGTGCCACAGACCTCTGCTGAGCGGCCCGCTGCTCCCCTCAGCAGTGTACTTCATCAATCTGCCTGTTCTGCTCCCCACTCTATCTCTGGTGAATCCTTTCACCGCCCCTGCACCTCTGGCCTGTACCCCAGTTCTGTATGTACAAATAAATAAATCTAAAAAAAAAAAAAAAAACCCACAAAAACCCCCACAATTTTCTGCTATGACTGGGAAATGCATCTGAACTCCAAATATAAACATAGGCTCAAAGTAAAAGGGCTGGACATAATCTTACAAATGAATGGGGCCCAAAGGAAGGCAGGAACAGCTATACTTAGTATCTGATAAAACAGACTGCCAGCTAAAAATGGTAACAAGAAACAGGGATGGACAGTTTATAATGATTAAGGGAATAATGTGCTAGGAAGCTATAACACTCATCAGTATATATGCACCAAATTAAGGACACCAAAATATATAAGGCAATTATCAGAAAACCTGAAAAATATACATTGGGAAGACACATTTGTGGCAATGGACTTCAACACCCCAGTTTCACTAATGGATAGATCAACCAGACAGAAAATGAATAATGGGGAAAACATTGGCCTAAATCAAAGAATTAGGCCATGTGGGCTTAGTAGACATTTGTAATATCCTACATCCCCAAAAGTTGAATACACATTCTTCTCAAGTACACATGGTATATTCTTGAGGACTGACCATGTATTTGGCCACAAGCTAAGCATCAACAAATTCATGGGGATTGAAATTAAATCCAAACACCTTCTCTGTCCATAAAGATAACAAACTGGAAATAAACCACACAAAAAATAAACCTCTGATATGTGAAGCCTGAACAACACACTATTAAATCACTAGAGTTAACAAAGAAATCAAAGAACAAATGAAAAATTCCTTCAGACAAATGACAACGAGGACACAACCTTCCAGAATCCAAGTAGTAATGAGGAAAAGTATATAGCAATACAGGGCCCATATCAAAAAGCAAGACAGATAATCTTATCTCTCACTTTAAGGAACTAGAAAATAGACAAACATATTAAAAGTCAGTAGAAGGAAGGAAATAATAAAAATATGAGCAGAGATAAATAAGACAGTCAAAAAGATTAATGAAATCAAAAGCTGTTTCTTTGGAAAAAAAAATAGGCAAACTTCTAGCTAGGATCACAAAGGGAAAAAAGCCTAAAAAAATAGGATCAGAAATGCAAGAGAATATACAACAGATATGTCGGAGATTTAGAAGATTTTAAGAAATTACCATAAACTTTTGTATGTTATTAAGTTGAGTATCTTGGAAGAGATGGACAATTTTATATAGATACACAAATATATGAAACTGAATGAGGAAGAAATAAAAATTCTAAAAAGACCAATTATAAACAAGGAAAATGAAACAGTAATCAAAAGTCTACCAAAAAAAAAAAAAAAAAAAAGACCAGACAGTTTCACACATGGTTTCTACTAAACGTTCAAAGGCACTAAAACTCATACAAAAAACTGAGAGAAAGAGGGAATGCTTCCAAACACATTTTATGAGGCTAACATTATTCTGATGTCAAAACCAAGTAAGGACAACACAAAAATAGAAAACTACATACCAATTTCCCTAATAAGCACAGAAGTAAAAATCCTCAACAAAATCTTAGCTAAATGAATTCAACAATGCATTAAAAGGATTATATTTCCATGACCTAGTGGAATTTATACCAAGGATATCCAAAAGTAATAAAATAAAAGATAAAAACCACCGATATGATAAAATCCATATCAACAGATATTGAGAAAGCATTTGCTAAGACTCAACATCCATTTATGAAAAGGGGGCTACATGGAACATACCTCAACAAAATAAAGGCCATATATGGCAAACCCACAGCTAAGATTATTCTCAGTGCTGAAAAACTGAAAGCTTCTCAAAAGCTTTCAAAGATCTATCTATACAAAATAAAAAAAATGTTCACATTCACCACAGCTATTCAACATAGTATCGGGAAGTCCTAGCTAGAGCAATTAGGCAAGAGAAGGATATAAAAGGAGTCCAAGTAGGGAAAGAAGTAAAGCTATTGTTATTTGCAAACAAGATGATAATTATATGTAGAGAGAACTCTAAAAACTACACTAAAAAACCAAAACAGGGCCCTCCCTGGTGGCGCAGCGGGTTAAAGCACAGCACTGAGAATCTAAAGCCGCTTCCGCATGAGTTCGATTCCCGCCTGCCCCCAAGGTGACCACATGGCGCCGCAGACCTCTGCTGAGCGGCCCGCTGCTCCCCTCAGCAGTGTATTTCGTCGATCTGCCTGTTCTGCTCCCCACTCTGTCTCTAGTGAAGCTTCTCGCTGCCCCTGAGCCTCTGGCCTGTACCCCAGTTCTGTACGCACAAATAAATAAATCTTTAAAAAAAAAACAACAAACCAAAACAATAAATTAGCAAATTGGCAGATTACAGAATCAATACATGAAAACCATTTCCCTTCCTATATATGTAAAAAATGAGCTAGAAGAGAAAGAAATTAAGAAAATGATACCATTTACAATTACATCTGAAGGAATTAAAATACCTAGGAGCAAACTTAACAAACAAGGTAAAAGACCTACATCAAGCAAACTGTAAGACATTGTTAAAAGAAATAGAAGAAAACACAAAGAAATAAAGAGATTACCTGCTCATGGACTGGAAGAATTAACATTGTCAAAATGACCACCCTACCCAAAGCTATATACAGATTCAATGCAATCCCTATCGAAGTTTCAATTACATTTTTCAAAGAAATAGAACATACATTACTGAAATTACTATGGGACTACAGGATATGGCCCATATCCTATGTAGGACCATAAAAGATCCTAGGTACTCAAAGCAATTCTGACAAGGAAAAAGAGAGAATGGTGGTATCATAGTCTGAGAAGACTTCATTCTATACTACGAAGCTATAATCAAACAAACACTGACACACCGACCAAGGGCACAGAATCGAGAGCTCTGAAAAACAAACAAAAAAAAACCCCTGCCTGTGTGGACAATTAAATCTATGACAAAGGAGCCAAGAATATACACTGGAAAAAGGAAAGCATCTTCAACAAATGGTGTTGGAAAACCGAACACCCACGGGCAAAAGAATGAATTTAGACCACCAACTGATAGAAACCAAAAAGTCAACTAAAAATGGATTAAGAGACTTGAATTAAGAACTAAACATTCCAAGATTAACATTCTATCACATTTTCTTAACTATAACTCAAAATGTTTGCCATTTTGAGAATAAAATGTAGGCATACCTCTTTATCTTGTATTTCCAGAAGAATAACATTTCTTACATACTACAGTATAATTTCAGCTGGCTATCTAGGTATCTGCTATCTCTACTGCAAAATAAAAAACAGTTCTCCATCCAGGATCCAACTAGCATCATACACTATGTTTAGATACAATGTCTCTAATCTCTGTCCAACTAGCACAGCTCCTTAATCTTTTCTAATAACTTGTAACTGTACTGTAATGGGTCAGAGTATTATTTGTAATATTTCTACTTTATAGAGCTTCCTGACATTTTCTTCTCCATAAGGTTTGCACAGGAAATAGTTTGTTGGGTTTTGGAATTTACATTTATGTGTAGTTTGGATTTATTCAGTTATCTGTTTGAGGGTTTTAAGTATTACAAAATTCAAAATAAATATAAAATGCAAGAGAAAACCTCTGAATAATGGCAAATATTCTTCTGAAGCAGAAGTGTATCATTTCCATGCATGTTTCTATGTTTACCAATATGTACCCATAAGCTGTATGTTTAAGTTTTATAGTTTGTTACTTACAGTTAAGATAAATAGGAATATTTTGTACATATTTCTTGCATCTTCATTTACTCATTGTTATAATTTTGAGATTTATTAATGTGGGTACACCTCACTAGTGGATATGCTAGTTCACTTACCCTGCTTAATGTCACCGTATGAATCTGTAAGTTACTTTTCCATTCCCCTTTGTTGATTCCAGTTTTTCACTCTTTTAAAGTGCTACAAATAAACATCCTTACACATCCTTACGTGTGAATCTCTATTTAGCTACCAAGAAATAGAATTTCGATAAGATAAGCAATGCCTATCATTGTATATTTGCGAAACTGCTCTTAAAAGTAATTCTATTGGGCGCTCTCTGGTGGCGCAGCGGGTTAAAGCACAGCACTAAGAAGCTAAAGCCCAGATAAGCCAGAAAGAGAAAGAAAAGTACCGGATGGTTTCACTCATAGTAGGAGTATAATGGACCAGGCGAGAAAATAACAAAATTAATGAACAACCATATACCAGAGACATTTTGCGGGGGTGGAGTGGGGAATGGGATCAAAAACGGGGGGGGAGGGAAATGCACGGGATTATGGTGA